GGGATGCTATAAGGCATTAAATAACTGAGAATTATTAAGATACCAACACTTCAAATTAATACTAAACACTAATTATATAATTAAAAATAGTGTTTTACTTACATTAGAGGCACAACAGATTTTTTTAAAAGCATCCAACTCCCAAAATAGCTGTCTGAGCCATCGTGGGAGTTATAGTTCTTTTTCTAAAATTGCATAGGATTGCACCTAAACATATGAAACTGTAAAGGGTGCATGTAAAGAAATTATAGATTTACAGTCTTAAATGATAGAATCCTTTCCTCAAGATATCTAAATGGTGAAAGAGTTTCAGGAAATGGATGCTAGTCGCTGCCAGGTTGCTGAGCTGCTCTCAGCCTGCCAAAATGATCACCAGCTTTAAAAGTATGAGAGAGAGAAAAAAAAGATTTGATTTGCTCTTTTTCTCACTGACAGAAACCGCAATGCAGATCCTTTTGAAAAATGTATGCTCATTCCTAGCTGTTCTGCATCTAGCTCAATGTGTACTTTTCCCCTTTGGGGGGCACATATTAATAGTGGGGAACTTGATTCATATCACTGGGGCTCCCTTGTGATAATGCTTCTTTTTACAAGAGAAGCCTGACACAGGATTTAAATTGCTCACAGAGGAGGAACTATCACTTTACCCACCAAGCTCTATCAAATATCCTCCCTCCATCTCCAGCCTAATAAACTAAAATTAAGCAAAGTGTTCATTAAAATAAGAGCTAGTATATCCAAGCTTTTTAGCATGTAGAAGTGATCACATCCTAAGGGACAAAAAACCTCCTTTGCATTTGAACATCAATTAGTTCTACATTTAGGGGCACTCTGCTAAAAACATTTTGTTTTGATGTATCCATAAAAGCTGCCTTGGCAATTATTACAGGAATTAATGAAATCTGATTCCAAATCCCCCCGCCCTTTTCATGTTAAAGGGTTTAAGATAGGGACGCGGAACCAATTTTGGCACAAGGTCTGGATTCCATTTTAGAGATGCTTTCAGGGGCCACATTCCAGTGGTGGGTGTGACTTAAAGGAAAAGGAGCCAAATGCCAGCAAAATAATAATGCTACAAACTAAGCATTAGGAGAGGTAAACTACACCTCCTGCCCCCCCACACACAAACTGCACAAAAATTGGGAAAGCACCTAATGATTGAAAGTTGAGAGAATAAAACTAGGGTCAGAAGATGGCGGTGTGGCCTTCAGAATCCAGGAAGACTTTACTTGGTAGCCAGATCTGAGGTTGCGCACCCCGTAAGGCATGGCAGTCTGCAAAGCTGACTCTGAACCATCTGTGGTAAGAAAGTCGAACTCCTTGTCGTTTCCCAGTAGACTGGCCTACTACTTATAGGTAGGCTGTCTACAAGACTTGAGCTCACAGCTTTCAAGAATGCAATGAGTAGTACTAACTTGTCCGATTTATTGCATGGAAACAGAGAGTACAGAAAGAATGGGAAGAATCTTCTTGTGTAACAGCGTGTAACAGGAGAGGGGAACCCTGGCCCCAGGAGGCCAATGGGGGGTGTCCAAAACCCCTTACTTGCTCACAGCAGCATAGGGCTCTGAGGGGTCATGTGCTTCAAAGTAAAAACAAAAAGAAAGCTCCTCTGCGACCTCCTGTGTTTACAACATAAATGGAATTCCACCCCTAATGAGAAATTTCTCAAAATTCTCCCCTACCCTGTGAAAGAAGCAGGAAAACAATGCCTTTTGCACAGGTAAGGAAGAGTTTCATTCCCATGTTCACGGTAGTGCACAGTACTGCTTGAAGCGAAGGCATCCTGGGGCTTCTGTATTTGTGGCCCCACTTACCACTGAGGTCCTGAGGGTCCGCTGTGCTAGGGCCAGTAGTAAAGTGGTTTGAGTATTGAACTGGGTCGAAGAGAACTAGGTTCTAGTCCCCACTCAGCCACAAATCTCACTGGCTGCTTTTGGGCCAGTTGCTGAGTCTCGGCCTCACTTACCTCACAGGGTTGTTCTGAGGATAACACTGAAAAGAGGAAGAGGATTACATAACCTGCCCTGAGCACCTTGAAGGAAAAAAGGTATATAAATATGATAGGTAAATATGAGAACATCATTCCAAGAGCTTCTTTGAAATTGAATTTGGGTTCTAGGCTGAAAGAAGTTCGTTATCATCATGGCTGCATGACTTCACTGAGAAGTTATCAATCAGTTGCTGAAGTTCATTTTGGGGTCAGTTACATTATGAATACCTACAAGGAAAAGGTAGCAACTGTATTTATTCATTGTATTTATAGCTTGGCTTTGTTCCAGCAAGGGACCCTAAGATAAGCCTCTTCCTTTCTATTGTATCCCTACAAGAATGGTGTTGAGACAGGCAGAGAGTCCGGGACTGACCTTCATGATCCAGAGGGTACTAGAACCCAGGTCTGGGTTCAACACTCTAACCGCCGTGCCATGCCGACTCTCATATGCATATGCAACATAAAAATTAAGCTACCATTTAAAGCATCCTCTTCACAGTAAGAGGAAAACCTCAGGTCCCACTTACAAAAGCACTTGATACATCTGTTTCAAAAAACAGTGCCTTTAGCTCCTATTCTCTTGCTGCAAGATCCAGCTGACATTGACTTTCCCAACTCTTACAACTGGAGTACTCCCTCTTGTGGCTGGAAATGAAAATACAGGAACATAGGATGGGTGCTTGCAGGTATTTCTCTTTATTATCAAGATGGTGTCCCCAAATCTGAACGCTAGTCACACGGGGATGGGGGCTGGCAGTGGCAAGTGGTATTATGGTGTATAATACTAACCCTGCTAAAAAGAAAAGAGAAAAGGATTTCTTTCTATGTTGTTACCCCATTTCTGTGACAAAAAGCCCAGATCATCTTAGCTATGTTCAGATCTGTTCATTGGACTGCTACAGTCTATGTACATGGAAGACTTTGTGTGTTACATACTGGAACATGCTTTGAAAAAAGGAGTTCAATACATATGCAGTTTTGCCAACACTTGTATCATGAACACCCAAATTCTGCAAGACAAAGGCCCAATGTATAACTTACCTCTGCCTGGTAGAGACACGCTCTGTCTCCTTCCCTACCACCATTGATACATGACATGAAACTGAGCCTCTACACAAATGGCTAATTGCACAGATGCCCCATTACTAACAGCATCTGCCTGGAACTATGGCCTTCCCTACTTTGGCTACAGGCACTGCTGCTTGGCTGCTTGGAAGCTTTTCTCAGGGCTTGGGGAGAAATGCTCCTCATATGCCAATCAAGTGGCAACACTTGACTAGAGCCCTTTCTTCTATTCCATGTCACCTTCACTGGTTAGTCACTGGACAGGATTTTGACTGGGAGCAGCATTTCCCTTGTCCTTGAGAAAGGGCACTGCTCTACTCAAGTCCTACAAATTCTCCCATCTCCCAGTGCTTTCTCTTCTCCTCTCAATCATATGGCACAACAAGCCTATGAGAACCTGTGACTGGCCCAGAATAACTGAGTGAGCTCCATGGCTGAATGTGGACTAGTGCCTGGATCTCCCAAATCCTAGCTCAGTGGTTTTAGCCATGCCACTGCACCAGCTTTCATCTGCACACCTTATTTCTCCTGCACAGCCTACATAGTGTGGCACTACAACTAACCAGCCACACTGCTCTCTCCCCCTCTTGGGCTCTCCTGGCCCAGACGTAATTGGCTGAGTGCTTCTATATTCTTCTCTTTCCCCCTCACCAGCCACCTAACAGATCAGGTGTGGCATCCCAGTCACCTGAGTCACCACTCCTCAGATCTCTGAGAGCCCAGATCACTGTGGCAAGCCCACTGCTAAAGAAAACAAAGCAAAGCTAGAGAATGGACTAAGAGTAGATACTGTGAAAAGAAAGGTGTGTGCAGGTATACAGCCTTAGTTAAGGTGACCTGGAGCCACCAGTGGTCCTTGGGCCTTGCCATGAAAACTGCTGCCTTATAATATAAAGAGGCTGGATGAGACTTCTGCATGACTGCCTAGGGCTCTGGCTCTTAAGTTATATCCCTAGCAAAGTCACAGAAATCACCAGGTAATTATGAAGCAGGGCAAGATCACCCAGATGAGTACGCAGTGGCATTCCAAGACTGAACATAGTAGCAGACACACCTAAGAAGATTCCACTTCTTCAGAAGAAGTGTAAAGATATATTATTCAACAACCAGAAAGTGATTACTATGCATCAACTGTCTTGCACTAAAGCTCTCCCCAAGTTGGAGAGGTTTTACATACACACAAAACGATTCCTGGAGGTAGATCTTTGATAACGTGGCATGATTTTGTTTCATGGAATACAGGGAAGTCTCAGGATGTTGAAAAAGTATGTAGCATTATTCTAAAGAGCAGCCCTATGTGTTCTGGTGTTGAAAAACATACATGGGCCTGCTTCAGGAGCTTATCCAAGGAAAGAGAGGACAAAAACAAATTAAATCAGATTATATATAAGTGAACATCTGTGCAAAATTAGAAGCACTCTACATCTCGGTATTCCACTGGACATTCTGAATGTTTTCCAACGTTGTTTGACCATGCTTTTGCTTTTACCCTCTATTCACATTCCATCTATTGAGAGATGCCTTTGCAGGAACAAAAATATGTCTGAAAATAAACTTTACAAGATAATTGATCAACATATTTTATATCTTCATAAAGTTGCTCTGTGCTTCTGTAAAATTAAATGCTTGTTTCTAAACATTTCTTGTTTAACATTTCTCTGCCTTTACTGGGTAAGAGGATACTTAATCCAGCAGAATGTTACCCTCTTCTGTTTCTGGTATATAAAATGTAGAATTCCAATTTATGGGGCATTAAATGCACTATCCCTTAAAAAACACAGAAAACTGAATTTTGAGATAAAAATGACCTTCTCCCTTGCTTTGCAAAGGCTAAGGAAGATAAGCCAGCTCCTCTACTCCAGACCAACTAATCTGTATGACAGGGGAAAATGTATTTATCTACAGTTGCTATGCATAGTCAATGCCAACAAAGCATGCAAAGTACAAAGCAGCCAAAATAAATCTTTATTGAATGCCATACCTGGCATTCAGTTTTCATTTACACTTAAAAAACAACACCAAATCCTCCTTTTGCCAGCATCAAAAAGATATGTTCTAGTCAATGAAAAGCCATCTCCATCTAAAGGCATTTAGTTTGCCAATGCATTTTCCTTTTTCATTGTTCCACAAGGTATAATTAATGCTAGAGAGGGCAATACATCGTTGGATTTAATCAAATCCACTGAAAAGGTGTAATTTTTCTGTCTCCAATCAGTTCTACTAAGATAGTTTAATGGCAGTATAAAAAAGTAGCAACTGTTTATATTTAATAAAGGAATGCAGTTTTAAGGGCGATCCATCATCCTTTTTCCTGAGGGGAGTCATACTGGCAACTTGCCCTTGTAGTGGCTCTTCAGTCCAATAACTTAAGGGTTAGATATCCACATCTCTTTTCTTGGAATGTAGATCATAAGTCCTCATGGACATCAGGCGAAGATGAATTTGTTAGAGTTTCTTCTTCTGTCAAAAGTAATGAATCTTAATTAAATCAAAACACCCCCTCCAGTTACATTTCTGATATTGACTGGGTTCATGGGAGGTCCATACTTGTGTGCAAAGCATTTTTATGCAGGCATGGGGAGGTACAGAAATGGTCCCCCTGTCTACCCTTGTATGGGCATGCTGGAAGAAGGAGCTAAAAGCTTCCATGTACATTAAGTACATAATGCACAGCACTTGGGTCCAAGCCACTAAAGTTTTTGAATATGCAATACTACCATATTTTAAAACTACAGAAATATCAAATAGATCAAGGGCAAAAATCTAGCCTTGCCAAGGATAGAAACTGGACTGGTTATTAAATTTCGTTATTTTTTTAGATTACAGAGAACTGGACTTCTGCAACCTGGTGCCCTCCAGATATGTTGGACTTTTAAGTCCTAGCATCCCACAGTGAGCATGGGAGTCCAGAACAGCTAAAGGGCGTCAAGTTGGGTAAGGCTGATCAAGAGTAACCACAAATAATTCTCAAAATCAGTGTCTTCCAAGGTAAAAAGAAGTGAATGGGGAAACCTATTCTTATTTTAATTTTTTTATCCCACCTTCAGTAGCTTCATTCTTGATCCCCCCTGCCCTGCCCCTCACACCCCTCAGCCCACTTTAGCCTCAACACATTCAATGAAGTAGGTTAGACTGACAGGCTTAAACATCACCCAGTGAGCTTCATACTAAATGAGGACTTAGAACCAAGTTTTTAACATCCTTGTTCACAACATTATACCAACAGGATGACAAGCAAGTATGTCAAATATCAAAATTAGACACCCTAGACTTCAGAATTAATGCCTTTTGAAGATACAAGAATACTGAATACTTGGCATGTATTAGTAGTTCTGCAGTAATGTTGAATTTACCAGATTTCCCTTTCCACCTCTCACCAAGAAATGGTGAAAAAGCAGTCACCCACCTGCTTTGGGTGTGGGAACACAGACTCCATCCTGGTCTTGAAAGCCCTCTGAGCAGGCACATCTGTAACTACCAGGAGTATTAAGACAGTCTTCATTTTCTCTTACACACACTTTTTCTGACAGCGAACACTCATCCACATCTTTAAAAAATGAGCAAGGAATTAAAAAGACATTCAATTTAAGTGCTAAGAAAGTGAATGAAAATAAATGCTACTAATACTCCTCTTGCTTCTTGATTACACATGTCTTTAGAAGTTACATTTTATTATTATGTACAGACAAGCATATTCTCCCAAGTTGTCTTCTTCTGTGTTGTTTTTTAAAGCAAGGGCTCCCTGCACATTTAGGGTTTAAAGCACTCTCCCCACCACCACCACCTCTGGAGAAATAGAATTGAACTAATTTTCTCACAAAAAAATCCCACTGACAAGAATCATGCAGATCATAAATTACCCCATTGGAAAGAAAGAGCAGTTACTACCCCATTTCTCATCAAATGATAGTCAGTCATAATTTCATCTGCTACAAACTATGGCATATTAAAAGAACCATCATACAAACACAGTACATGAAATCTATATTGCTGTTATGTTTTGCAGGCATCATCTGAGTTGCAAGAGTTAAAAATTCAGATGGTTAGAATCCTTAAAATGACATATGGAACGGGTTCTCAAGAAAGACTTGCATAATGTATAAGTTTTCCTTTATGGTGCAAAAAAAGACATTCATTCTTCCAGGCTTTCAAAATTCTGAGTCTTTACTATTTTCCAACTACTGCTTTATTGCTGATTTCACAATAATAGCCTTGTTTTGCATTACTAATTTTATTCCACCAATTCTATTGGGATGTCATCCCCCGCACCACCATTTTCCTGTGATCCACTATAGGATTCATTTGGTTGAAAGGTCGCATACAAAGATAAATAAATAAAAACCTTCAAGGAGTATTACTTCTCTCGGCAACAGCTTTTCAAGTTTTTACAGTTTAATTTAAAATTAATGATAAATTCCATATAAGCTGCAGTGCTGATATAAGTACTTTTTGCATGTCCAATTCACAAGTGCCACTGCAAAGTAACAATAATGGGTTTTGTTGAGAGAGGGAGACAAGTTCCATTTTAAGTTGTTAAAGGACTGAGAATTAGGGCCAAAAAAAGCAACCAACAGACCTCCATGAAAATTAAACTATGAGTTTAGAAATGTAAAGTAAAAGTCTAACCTGTGCATGTTCCATCTTTCATTTCATAGCCAGATGTGCAGCTTTTACATTTGCTGGAGCCTTCTCCTGTGCATCCCAAACAGCTACGATCACATGCTGAAACACAAAAATGCAAATTGGATTATTTTTAAAACACTGTAATGACGATGAAGACTAATTAGAAAGGGAAAAAATAACACTAACAGATGCTTAACTACAAAGAAGGCAATGGTTACATTCACACGTAAAACAAAGTTGTACAAGAAAAAAGACAGAACAATTCCCATGTGTATTTTCTCATATCAAAACCTGTGCAATTTAACATTGTACATTTCTACTGCACTGCTAGTCAACTACGTATCTCTGAAGTTAGCCTGCATGATGCAGAGGTGGTGAAAAGGTTCCTGACTTTTTAAATTACAACTGGAGCTAGCATGGTACAGTGGTTAGTCCAGGAGACCAGGACTCAGGAGACCAAGCTTCTAGTTCCCACCCAGTCATAAAGCTCACTGGTGACTTTGGGCTAGTTCTAACTCTTAGCCTACTCTACCTCCCACGGTTGTTGTGAGGATAAAATAGATGGTAAGATGTAGGGTCTGGGACTCCTGTCGCAGAATACAGCTCTTCAAGATAGATACCTCAGGCTCTGAAACTGAACTAGAGAAAGAGCTGGGGTGAAAGGCAAAGGCTGGTGAGTTTTGAGATAAGCAGCTGGTAAGGACCAGACCATCTCTGGTTGGGGAGCAGGGGAGATCCTGTAGAACTGGGAGGGTCAGAGGGAAAGAGACATAGCTTGCTCAGCCTATCGCCAGGTCAGGAGCTGACCCATTAAGTAATGTCTAGTGTTCGCGATGGATGTTTCCTGCTTTTTTTTTTTTTTTTTTAACATAATGCTCTTTGTTTCAGAAACCAGACCTGGCTGGCCAGCTTCAACATAAAAAAAGGACTGTAGTTAGAAGCCTCTCCCCTTGATCTGCTGGGAAAGGAAAAGGAGGTAGGCTGCAGGGAGAAAGACTTTCAGTTGTAAGTTGCCTTGGCTCTTCACAGGAGAAAGGCAAGATAAGCACATAATGGGGAATACTAACTGTAGACAAGAGAAACATTGCTAAAAGCACATTCATTTTACATTTCTGTTTTCCTCAGAAATCTCCCCAAGCTCTATTCTGTTCCCATTACTACCTTCCAACTGGGTACCATCTCCTCTTTCTCTCATGCTTTGACACTTGAATGAGGACTAGGCTATTCTGCTTTTACTACCTTCCCTGGAGATGTCAATCTTCTCAATGCTTTCTAACACTCTCTCTTGGTCTTCCACCCATCACGACAGCTTTGTCTTTTTTTTTTTTATTATTATTATTATAACATTTCTATGCCGCCCCTTGCCGAAACCTCGGGGCGGCTTACAACATGATAAAATACATTGAAATACAATAGTACATAATAAATTACCATTAAATATAACAATACAAAAAATACATTGATTACATTTCTATGATCCAGTTATCTGCCACGGAACTCTTTCCCTTTCCAGTTACTGTGTTGCTTTCATATATCCTTCCCCCCACCCCCCGTTATGTTAGAGGTCACTGTTTTCCCTTCTGGGAAGAGGGTATCTTATTTTAAGATAAAATAGGCAAGGGCAAAATTGCCAATTAGAACTTCATATCACTTTGAATTGTGGCCAAAAACAAACTAGTAGCCAAGGAGTCTGCCATAACAAAGGATTCACACACTCCCAGTAACCAGTCCTAGTCACCTTTTTGGCCATCGCATTCTGGACCAGCTGAAAGTTCAGCTGAAAGTTTTGAAAACAGACCCCTGTAGAACACCAAGTTCAATCGCAAAGTTGTGCCCAACGGTCCATGACCCCATGAACCACAGCATGCCAAGCTCTCCTGCCTTCCACTGCCTCCCGGAGTCTACCCAACCCCACGCCCACCACTCCAGTAACTCTGTCCAGCCACCTCAACCTCTGCTGTCCCCTTCTCCTTTGCCTTCAATGGTTCCCAGCATCAAGGTCTTTCTCACTAGGTAGCCAAAGTATTTGAGCTTCAGCTTCAGTATCTGTCCTTCTAAAGAACAGTCTATTTCCTTTAGGATTGACTGATTTGATCTTTGTATAACACATTACAGCAGTCCAAATGGGAAGTAACTAGTGTGGCTGCGTAAGTCATCCCTAGGTTCAGAGCCAAAGTCCAGAGTACACACACAGTGTGAGGGCCAGTCAAATGGGGAAGTATAGGCCCATCTGGGAGAGGTTAAATCCCTATTTCCCATTATTACATCAAATTATATAAATCCTATTATATTAAATCCAGGTGTATATCAACCATGGCATCCAATGATACAATTGATTTTATCTGGAAAGTGTTGTGTAAATTTGTCACAGCCTAATACTTTCATGTGCTAGCCATAGAAAGATGTCTATTTAAAATGTCCAGTCATTAAGTATCATTCTAAATCAGGTGTGGGCACTAAGAACAACTCCAGATACTCTGGATTTCAACTCTCAGAAACTCCTGCCAGCATGGTCAATGGTCAGGAATGTGGAGAGTCAAAGCCCGAAACATGTGGATACTGACTGTCTACACCTGTTCTAAACTAAAATTGGAGATAGACTATAGAAACATTTATGAAGGACAAAGCATGGTGTGTTTTCTAATGCAAAGTTTGTTGATGGTTATGAAGTCAGTAATCATCTTTCAAGCCCCAAATCTGGTACTGTATTAGCCTATGCAAAAGCAAACACTCTACAAGTTAAGGCTAAATTATACATATTATCAAACGGCAACCTTTGCATGAAAAAGAGCCTTCTGTGTTTAAACAATATTGGTCAGAACGGCATGGAGAGTCTTCTACAGCACACTCATCCACATCTGAAAAAAACAATTTAGAACAATCAAATGTTAGTATTGGAACAAAAACGGAATAGTTCAAACTCCAAACAGCTGATATGGAGCACTGTCTGTTTTCTCTTCCTCACTACAACCACTCATGCCACATCCGGTATCACCCTGAATGATTCTTCACCCACACGAACCTTCAGCCTCTAGGAACAGCCTTTCAAAGACTACAAAGGACAGCAGTCCTAAGAAAATGGATGTGCATGGATCCTTCTGCGTTCCAGCCAGGAAGGCCTGTATTATTCTTATGACCCCAAGAAGTAGGACAGTAGTTTAAAACACATTTGGACCCCCAAAATAGATTAGGTCACACCTTTTTATTTAAACGTCATTTTAACTGTTGATTTTATTTATTGATTTTAACAACTTTGGCCAGGATGTCTCCAATTTTATATTACTGTATTGGTGGTATTTATTTATGTTTGTAAGCCGCCTCGAGGCTTATGCGAAGGGGGCAGCATATAAGTTTGCTAAATAAACAAACAAACAAACAAATAATCTTGTGGTATGCTATGCCTTGTGGTTTGCTATGCCAGGTAATCTTGGGGGAGGGGGCAACACACCTCAAAGGGTGGGGTGCTTACCTTCCCAGATGCCCCAAGAGGCTTGGGATCTTATGCTGATGTCTAGTATGTGCTGCTGAGGGGAATGTGCTCCTGCCTACAGTAATGCAGATATACAACATTAGACCTGGGATGAACCTTAGTGGGATTTGTCCCTCTAGCATTTGAGGACTTCCTGCTCTCCTTGGCCCTGTTTTGCAAAGCAAGAAGAAGTCTATGAAAGCTCATGGAACAAAGGCAAACTCTTGACAGTGGTCCCTTGTGGAGGCAGAAAGCATGCAAGGGATGCGCATTCCTGCCTGTCTCCTGTATGTGCCCCTACAATTCATTAAGCTTCTGGTTCTTATACTCTTTTCTCTGGACTTGCTTCTATGGAAGCAGGAAGGCTCCTACTGTTTGTCAGACTAATGCTACTGACTTGACCGTCTGACTGCTTTGACAACCTTAGTTATCTCTTCATTGCTAGCTGCTCCTTGACAATGTCTGTTTTCTGTGGGTAAAAGGTGTGTCCTTTGCCAGTTTGCTGTCTGCTATTGCTGGGGTAATTTCCTGGTGGCTGAGGTTTCTTTTCCTCACCTCACCTCCAGTTAACTAATTGTGCTTGCTTGGGACGATAGCCATCTCTTGCAAGGCCAGTTTTGACTACAAAGGAAATCTCTCCATGGCTTCCCTTCTGCAAGAATTTCATCATTCACTCCTTAACTCCCCTGCACTGGCTAGCCCAGGCCATTAGGTTCCTCTTCTTGAACTCATGCTTACTCAACCTACCAATAGCTTGGGATCTTGTTCTTATGGCACTTACCATACAAGCAATATGGGTAGAAGTTACATATATATCCTACAGGCTCATGCACTCCGGCTCATGCACTCCTATTTCCTGCCTCCCAATTTGGGCAAACCATACTTTGCTTTTACATCCAAAGTGGCAACCATTATTTACTTCCATGGGTGAGAAATGGATTTCGGATTCTAGTTTGAAGGCAAGCCATATTTTCACAGATTAGAGAGGAGTGGAAGAGGTTAACATTATGTGAGCCCACCCAGCCTCGACAAAATACACAGTTCATCATGAACTGTGAAATAATTTAAGCCAAGCAATAAGCATGAGTGCTATCCCAATGCAGCCTGCTAGTGCTAGAAGGGTTAACTTTAGCTTTTTGTTTCACTGTGATCTTGCTTGTATATTTCATTATTATGTATTTCATAAGGATTGTACTATGCACATATACTATGAATATACCCTTGTAAATATAGTATGCTAACTTTAACTAGCATTAATACTGTGGTTATTATTGTTGATTTTAATTTGCATTTGTTGATCTATTTTTAATTGTTTTCAGTTGTAATGCTGTATTTCGATATTCCATGTTTGAATGTGAATGGGCATGATCTATTGTGGAAAAAGGGCATACAACAGGGATTACTGAACCACATATGTTCTAATGAAATGAAAGTACAGAGCAACTGGTATTCAGAGCAACCTGCCACCACCTTATAAAATAAGGATGGCCAAACATTACAAGAATTTAATGGAATAATTACTTAAAAAGACAAACTGAAAACCATTATTTTTTTTGGATCAGGAATGTCAAGTTGTTCAAGCTACAACAGGAACACAAATATAACAAAATATAGTGCTTTCAAGGCCCAGATGCAACTTACGCTCTTATCATGAACAGTTTTGTCTCAGGTGGCCTTACCCACACAGGCTTCTTCATTTTTGGTCCAACCTTCTTTACAATCCTTACAATCTGTATTAGTTGCACCGGTGCATGTTTTACAGGAATCGTGACAAGCTATCGAGAGAAGAAAGATTTGCAGAAAAGTTCTTTATACAATGCTTCAAAAGTTAGTTTTCAGTTGCAACAGAACCAGTGGGGACCAGCAGCAAAATGTTGCTATTCATCCCTAGAATCTGTAGTTGAAAGATCAAGCAAGTCAAGAATAAGAGCCTTGTAGCTAAGTTTGGAATTCAGAGAGTAAGGGGATTTTTTTTTTCTATTTCCACCTCCCATCTCAAAGTCAGTGGCATGGGTTTCCTGGAAAATTTTCCAGATTTGGCTAAACACACATAAGGTTAAGTTGCACTGACAATGTTTCTGATTCTCTAGAGCAGGCTTTCTCAACCTTTTTACTTTGGAGAAATCCTTGAAATAATTTTCATGCCTGAGGGAACCCCTGCATAAAAATTATGATAAAGGTAGGACCTGGACTTAATGTACATAGAGGCTGGTAATACATCTTAATTAGTACTATATACAACACAAAAAATATTGACCATGTTGAATAGTATGGTTACTGAAAACTGTTAAGATAAATCAAAGTAATATGAACAGAATATTGCCCTAAATCTAAAATAATGATATTTACTTCTTTAATGGGGAACTTGTGCTTGTACTGTGATGCATAAATATATAATTCTGGGTTGAACTTTAAATAAGCACACACAGATTTAATCTTCGACCAGAATGAGATGTTTTCTATTTTTGCTGTTGATGCATCATGATGATGACACATTCGATGGAGTGGGAGGCAGTCCCAGCCAGAGATGACATGTGCAACCTCATATAGCTCTAGTGTGCCAACCCAGGGAGGTGGGTTGGTAATTGCACTCCTAATTTTGAGGGGCGGTTCGAAGAGACTTCCGTCAACTCTGGCTGGAGGGAGAAAATTAACTTGAAACGCTAGAGAGTGGTTGCTAGGAGAGATTAACAGCCAGTCATCCCACACTGAACCTAAGCCTTAGGTCCTAAGGGAGACTCCTGTCCTCCTACCATTGGAAGGAGAGGAGGAATTTGAGCAGGGGGCAGGAGATAGAATTACGTGATAAATTTATTATATACAAACATTATAGAAATGATTGAATAACTTTCATGTCCACATGTGTTTATATCACAAATGTAGTATTTATATAATATAGATTATAATATATGTGAAAACACTGTGTGTGCATTCCACGATCTCTCATTGAGCGCCCAGCGACCTTCCATGGAATCCTACGAAGCTTGTGCTTTTAGGGGAGTGCAACCCCATCCAAAATAGGTTGAAGATCACCCAATTAGACACATGAACCATCCACTAACAGCATCTCCATCTTGCCTGGATTGAGTTCCTACTGGCCCTCATCCAATCCATTGCCATGCCCAGACACTGATACAGAGCAGCCACTGCCTCACCTGCACCTTCTACTTCTAGCCCAGCCAGTCTATCCAGGTTACCATTGCTGATGGTACTGAAAGCCGCTAAAGGGTCCAGGAGAATCAACAAGGTCACACTCCCTGTCTTTGTGCCAGCAATGGTCATACCACAGGACAACCAAAGCTATTTCCATTCCAAAACCAAGCCTGAGGCCTGTTTGAAATGGATCTAGATAAGCTGTTTCATTCAAGAGTGCCTGGAGCTGCTCAGCTACCACTGCCCAGAAAGGGGATGTTTGCCACTGATCTATAGTTATTAACGTTCTCTGGTTCCAGGTTAACATTTAAAGGAAATAGAGGGCTCATACCTGTACAGACAGAATGTGTATCGTTTCTGTGGGAGCTATAGTAGCCATCAGAGCAGTCCAAGCAAAATTCTCCTTTGTACTCTTTTTTACAGCTGCATGATCCGTCACCACCCCTGGTGCCATCTCCATCACAATGGCCATTACCATGGCAAGGCCTTTCCGATCCCCCACGGCAAGCTTAAATTACACAAACCATGATTTTAAAATTTCTTCAAACTAAAAGCAAATAATTTATTTTCTTAGCACTTTTCTCACAGCAGTCAAGCCTATTGATCATTTCAGTTAATCATAATAACCCTCTGTTTTCAGTGGTGTCAAACCTCTTTCAGGCTAGGGGCTGAATTTCATTTCAGAGAACATCAGATGCCACATTCCAGGGGTAGGCGTGGCTAAAGACAAAAAGGGAGGAGCCTAAAATATCTATATATTCCATCTTAAAGTACTTATTGGCCGTACTTAAGCCATAGGAAAGGCTTTTCAAGGTTTCAGAGTGGAGAGGAAAAAACTGGAAAATCACCAAACAACTACAGTTGGACAGAAGAAGAAAGGCCTATCTGGGGAACCCTGGTAGGCTGCTTTGGGACCTCAGGCATGTGAAATTTGGCCCATGGGCCTGAGGTTCAGCACCCCTAGTCTTGATAAACCTATTGAGTGGGTTTATCTTTGCTTCTAATAAAAGTCATACAAAAATCCCAACTCCTCTCCAATAAACTTGGGTGACTCCATTCACAGGCTGCAATCCTGGGGGAAGCATTTTCTGTAAAATTCATACAGGAGATGAGGAAAAAAACGATTTGGCTACCAGTCCAACAAAGCCCCCTTGAACCAAAATCCTAACTCCAGTTTTCTTTATACATAATTTCCATGTGGCTAGACTGGTACAAATATCAGCCTTCTCCGCAACTCTTTTTGCTTGTTTTCCCTGATGCTTTTGACCTTCTCTTAGTATTCTACTAAGTTTGAATAATGAAACTGGCTATTACACACTCTCCATGTGGTAACTTTACTGGTAGGACTGCAGTTCATGATTAACTTTTAGCAGAAAGCAGCACTGCTGGTACAAAGATACCATCAGTTCAATTAAAGTTTCTGCATACTACTAATTTAAAGAGATGCCACTACTTTATTATTTTTGTTTAGTTACCCAGACAATCTGGTCCATGTGTTCCAGGAGGACAGCAAACTTCAATAGTTTCTATACAAAACCACTTAAACAAATCAGGATATTTCTTCTTCCTGAAAAATAAAGTCATGCATTTCTGAACTAGAACACAAGATTCCTGAATACATTTACATATATACTGAACATTACATTTTGGTCTGAATATATAAAGATCACAGTTCTAAGGACTTTTATTGAAATTCCTATTAAGAATCCAAATGGAAAGGGCAAGTCTTTGAACTACAAGTACAGAGTGTAGTAATTTTTAACAGTGAGCTGCTTTTGCTCATTGATTTCCAGTACTGGCTTATGACCTTTCTGCCACCTCTTCAGCTTGTAAGCACCTTCTCCTGGAAAGAGCCTTGGTCCACTGTTGCACAGTGAGGAAAGAGAGACCAAAGACTGGTACTAGAACGTAAGCATCAGAGTTGTTTCCCTACCTTTTATGGCTCCTACCTTTTTTGGTGCACAGAACTAGCTTGCTGGGGTGAGGCGTTTGCAAAAAAGATACCTTAACTGTTTGAGAATTATTCAACTGGCCTTCTTTGTGCAGCACATGCCCTCTTCATAAAGACTCTGGACATGCATCAAATGACCTGGTCACACTTCTTGAGTTCCCACAAAGACTCCAGATGTCGTGTGAAGTAACCAGGCTGCTGCCACTCACATCCTTGCTATTTTCACTCATCTGAAACTGAAGAGAACAGCCAAGATTCTCCTGCATGCAGCTGCCCATCTCAAGGCTGCAGGACACAAAGAAATCTCTGTTTGTTACCTCCATTCTCAGATAACAGTGACTACTTCCCGGTTGGCAGGAAGCAATTTCACGAAGGCTCCATGGATGGGATTAGAGAGCCCTATAGGCCAGATTTGACCCATGGGCTGACAGTTCTACACTCATGTAGAAAAAACCCATATCATAAACTGAAAGACCTCAGTGAAGAAAGGGAAAGGAAGCAGATCACAAGTACACAAGAAGGAACCACTATGTCAAGTCAGAGAGGCTGATCAACTATGTGAAAGGTGGCAAAGAGAATCTGGATTTGGCAGTGAGGACATAATTCTGAGTTTGCTGTCTGAGCTGAATGAAGCAGCCAGAGTATAAAAGATCAGGAATGGAGCTGGAAGAGAAAAATAAATCAAGAAAGTGGGAGTAAAAAGCATGTTTCTGGTGTTTTGAGGCAAAGGGAATAATGGAAGAGAATTTTGAGAATCAAATAACAGTGAAAGTGGGAGATATTAAGCTAATGAATCCAGGTTACACTGTAAGTGAAATAGTTCCAAGTCTTCAATTTGAGAATTAGTAAACTCTTAATACTCGGAGCCTTCACTCTTATAGGTTATTAGGGTCTATTCTACTGCCTCATGATACTTAATTCACACAGAAATAGTTATTTCGCAGTAATGGTCAGAAAGAAGTGAGGCTGTCAAGCATGCCAACATTCTGAGGTGGGAAAGAGTATGCACATTGGATGTAGGGTCTTTCAACTGAACTTTGGCCTTGAACCTAAAAGAAATTTCCAAAAGGTTCCATCAAGGGGTTGTATTCAATTTTAGTCATACTCAGAGGACTTCCACTGGAATGAAAGGCCCTTAAGTTAGACTAACCCTGGTCACAACCCAAAAGGCATGCAGGGGTTGCTCACCCATGCATGGGAATGCATGCATATGATCCTGTCAAAGAAAAGTAGTTACAAGCAATACAGCTTCATTGTCTACAATCTAACCAGCCATTTTTTATTGCCAGAAAGCAAATCACGCAGATGGGTATGCCCACAATCCTCTGGTTTTGGAAATGTTTGTGGTGGAGAATGAGCATTCAGAACATTTCTAGAAAAAGATATTTAGAAGAGATGATGCTATCTTCAATATCTTTATTGCCAGACACTTAAGAAATGGGTAATAACCTATATAATGAAATTGCACCTTTAACCATTGGTTAGTGTTTAAAGTGCACAGTTCAAGATCTATTGATGAAATACCATTTCCAATACACTTTAAAATATTAATAAGTGCACCATCCCATTATTTTAAATACAATGAGACTCCTGCCCCATTCAGAAATGTGTTGTACTCATCTGTTTTCATTCTATTTTGACCTATCTATGCTTCAGGCTCAAAAAAGAAAGCTGAATTTATATAATATTTATTTACCATACTTTTGAACTGTCCAGGAACAAAAAAATCTACTGATGCTATTAGGATTCCATATAAATTTATTTATTTATTTAAAGGTTTTATAGACTGTCCCATTACTAGAATCTCGGGACTGTTTAAACCAAGCACAGATTAAAAAATGGCACAGTAATTTAGTAAAAAATTACTGAACAGAAATGTGTTTTCTAAACACAGTTTAACAAAATGTTTAATTTTGCAGGTGTAACTGAAGATAGAATGCTGGTGTTTAAGCTCTACAGCTAAGTGATGATATACAAAGAAGAACAACTTGCCCTTCTAATCCCAGGTGGAGCTGTCAGGGCTTGTGGTTAGACAAACTGTCTTCTTTAGTTGCAAATGGAGCAGAAGTGATCTGGAATTAATAAGAACCTTATCATGGAATCCTACAGAATAAAGCTCTAGAATGTTTATCATGCACAATAAAACAGCACAGTCTTCCCAAACTGGTATGTTTTTGACATCAGATCATCTCAGCTCCAACCAACATGGCCAATGCTTAACAAAGTTGGGTGTTATGGTCCACAACTTCTAGATGACACCAAATAAGGGAAGACGGCAGCACTACCTTCTAGCCACATGTGGCAACAGTAAAAAAAAAAACCTCAGGAATAAATGACAGGCTCCAAAAAATGAGTTTATCAGGCTCTTACAGATTACTTAAGCGTCTATTTGAGTATCTTGAGTATTTGCAAGTCACTAAGCTACATCATCTAAAAATGACACCCACCCACTTCAATCATACAAAAGATCAGGCTAGCCGTACCTCTACCCTGAAGCTGGACCCAAACCCTAGTGTGGATAAATAATATCATGCATTTCAACAGATGAAGGAAAGCCTGCACAACTGGGATTTTACGGAGTTTGATTTTTCTCCTACATCTCAGCAAGTTCCAGGCCCACAGAAGGGTAAACGGGAAGATACATTTCAAATGCTGACCATAACCTGAAACACAACCTTAACCCTACAGTTAACAAATGCAACCATGCATTTAGACTATTTCAAGAAAGGTAGCACAAAAGGGGTTTTTTTTTTTCCCTTACCAGTTCACTTTCTCGCCATCATGACAACAACACTCAGGTCCTTGAACATACAAGGGTATGGATATTGTCAAAACCCAAGCCCTATCTGGCAGTTTGGAAATGTATTTTGTGGCATAAGGAATTCAGACCTCAATTAGAGGTATGGTTAAGACAAAGGTTAGGGCAGTTAAAACCAGGGTCCCCTGGAAGATGCTGGGGCTTGGATTGGCTTTGGAATTATAGAATAAATGCACTTTGCAGTAAATCATTCATAAAGATGGCAATTCAGAAATTTGACTAATAGCATGCAAAAATCAGTGAAAAATTAGAGTCAGGGTAAGACATAGCTTACCCTGGTTAACATAATAGGGTTACTATTATAAACACCAAGGTCCTAGAGAAGGTGCCAAGGCTTGAAACATATTTAGAATGGGCAGAAAGAATGAAGTGTACAGGAAAAAAATATTCAAAAACCTGGCCTTTTGAAAATATTCACTGTGTGACATGCGGAGTAAAGCCTGAAATTAAGATAATCTAGGTTAGGATTAGGGTTAGAAAAGCCAAGATCAGGATGAAGCAAGTGAGGCTTCAAAGGAGAAAAAAAATGAGCTGTGTAGAAAAACAAGGTAGAAATCCAAAAATATACACTGTGTCATGAGTTCACCCTAAAATTACAGTTATCAAAAGGCCCAGGTTAATGTTACAGTTAGGGAAAAAATGGTCTTGCTGAAGTGTTTGATTCTTAGAATGCCTTTACAATGGGAAAAAGAAAAAGGTCCTATAAAATGTGTGATCCTTAGAACATGCCTAGAATGGGAAAAGAGAGGAGCTATAACAGGCTTGTAACATGTTTACTAAGGTTGCAGTTGAAGCTTGTAACATGTAGAATTCAGCATGAAATTAGGGTTAGGTGCTGGCATGCTGAAAATGTTTGTTGTGATATCAAGAGTTCTGCCCTGTATTAGGGTTAGGGTTTAGGTCCAGCTTAGTAAAATTATATCCCAGCTTTACCTTGCACTTCTCTGAAATACAATACTGAGAACACTGCAATAAATTCTACCATATTTATTACTTACCATTTGAACCACCAAGTTTCTATACGCTCTTCATGTTCTTCAACCATGTTGTTGCATTCAAAGTTGCTACTGTCACACAGGTTCTCTATTATCTCTACTAGGCGAATTTCACTGCATGAAAACAAGTTATGGGAAATCAGTTGCGTAGGCCTAAAGCGTTTTCTTTAATGTAAATTAAAACAACTCCAAAAAATTGAAATTGGGGTTATAATTAGCTTCTGAAATTGCATGAGCTGCAAACAGAAAATCTGAAGTCTTAAATCTTTAAAGCAAACATGTGTGAAGTAGCTTAAACGTTCTGCACCAATAGCACTTTCAAGACTGTAATCCTACTGTGTGGTTTTTAGGAATTATTGCCAGCAAAATTGGGACTTGTAATGAAGTAAGTCTGCATAAGACTTGGCTGTATGTTTACTAATTACATGAGTACTCAAATGACAAGTTGCTCCCACTACACCTCTTGCAGTCCTTATTTTCTTCCTTCGCTTCCATTTTGCTTGCTCTGCCTTTCTTCAACAGAGTCTGCAACTACTAAAAAAACTTACATGGAACAGAAAGCCAGGGTACCACAATAACTCTGTGGAACAGTAACCCAAGATCCCTGCCAGTGCCAATGCTAAACAAACCAAGTTCTGCTTTTTCAGTGTGAGAGTCAAATGAAGAAATCCTGGCTTCTCACTCCTAAATAACTCAGTTTATAAACCAAGAATAAACCCTGCTTCACAATAATGGATTGTAAGAGAAACAAGAAGCCAGAATATCTGTTTTTAAGACTTTTTTTTAACCTGCCAAGTTTCTTAAACTAGCTGTGCTGCCTGGCTGATCCAAAGCAAGAATGAATGGAATGCATACATCGGCATGCAGTTCATGTAGAATAAGATAGGATTCATTCATAATAAACCAAGATATGCTGGCTGCATTTAGTGAAAACACAACTAAAGCTATCATTCATAATAACTGAGTTTCATTACTGTTTCCTTCACACAAGTGTATCATTCTTACTCAGTGTTTCAGTGCATAATGGCATATTAAAGGTAGAGATCATAGCTTGGATGGTAAGTGAATGGTTTCCAAAGGAAGGGCTATTGTACACTCCTCATGTAGTAACATTTGTCAAATAGTACCTGATAAAAATTTCTTCAGGCCCCTGCTGGCAAAATGGATATTATTAAAAGTGAACTGCCTGTTTCGTTGGCCATCATTGATTCTATCATCTTGGATGCAATGGTTTGTGATGTCAGAGACTCATGTGCCACAGGACAAGCTGATCTGTGCAAAGGGAAATTTTTGACTGTACATTTCCAGGTTGCAGGCCAACTTTTACTCAGCTGTGTCCGATAATGCCATGTGCTAGCAGGATCTAGTAGTTACTAAAGGAATAAAAAATTCATCTGGCACACTCATTTCTGGAACACTACAGGCATTTCTAGAATGGCTCACATAAAGGAGCTCTACTGACTTGTCCAGTCCCAAAGATAAGTATTTCAGGGATTCCTCTGGGAAGGCCCTATTCCTGTGGCACTTGTAGTGAGTCTCGTGGGTGCCAAAGAACCAGACAAGATACATCAGCAGTACTGGATACTGGCCAATGTGCTTTCTTAGTTCTTTCAATTAACTTCTTGCTGATAAAGCTCAGAAAAGCAATTGGTTTACATGTGCCCATGCAAACAGGAAATTCAATATGCTCTTGGCAAGGTCACATGCAAGGAAAGTCTGTGGTTTCAGAAAGACCTTTCATTATATAATGTTGAATGTTCAAAAATAATTACAAAGGCAAACATTGGAGATAGGGTTTCTATATCATAGAGCGCAGATTGAAAGATCAGCTGATCACTCTCAAACAGTGAACTATTGAGTTCCTTCAAGGAATAAACTGGTTTTGCGCATGAAAAGGTGGAGACAGGTAGGGGAAGATTTCAAATAGCCCATGTTCTCCCATCTTTTCCTGCTGCTGTGAACTACATCCCTTCAGGTTACAATCACTCTTGGAAAGAACACTGTTTCTTCTGCAAAAAGAGTCTGGTTGGGACTTGTTGAAATGCAATGCTATAAAAGGGTCCTTTCTCTGTTCCTTCCAGCTTTAACCTGAGTACGAGAACTTCTAGAGCACGGATCCTCTGCAGAGCCACTGAAACTCTCAAAACTGTCTTACAGCAATTCAGTGGGTCAATAAAGGCAGCTGCAGCAGCAAAAACTCTGGGCAGCGGGACACAGTACTTTACTCACAGGCGATGGCTTGCTCTATTTTGCATATTTATTTATTTATTAAAACATTTCTATGCCGCCCCATTCGCCGAAGCCTCACAAGCCTCGGGGCGGCTCACAACATATGAGATGGATCCACAGTTCAGATATTACAGAAGCCAGCAGCCCCTTCTGGGCTTGTGCGTCCTTCTTAACCTGTGTCACACAAATTTCCTCCTCCCTTTCCTTGTTTGCTCTAACAAAAGTTTGCTGTGATATCTGCATTGGACAAATACAGTGGTTCCTCGGCTCACAAACACCTCAGTTCACAACCAAATTGGGTCGCGAACAGAAATTTTGGCAAAATTTTGACTCAGGTCGTGAACTCCACATTGGTTACAATCACAATCGCCCCCGTCTTCTCTGCACAGGCACGATCACGGTTGTGCCGGAGGGGAGGAGATGGCCGCGATCGTGCCCGCCTCCCCCGCCCGAGCGTGCCCGTGATGGCACCCGTCTCCCCCACCCCCAGCATGCCTGCACTCACACCTGTCTTCCCTGTGATTAAAAAAATATTTACAGAACAGATTAACCTTATTTACATTGAACCTTATGGGGGAATTTGACTTGGCTTGTGACCAATTTGGGTAGCGACCAGAGTCGTGGAATGGATTAAGTTCGTGAGCCGAGATACCACTGTACTTGTTAGCACTAGGGTTTCAAAGCAGAGTGTGGAAGCCATTTGTGGAGCAAGACAGTGATGTAGGGTAGAACCTCTTCCAAAATAGGAACTGTTCCAGTGTGTTTTTTTTCTGCAGAAATATTTGCATTTCATAAGGTCATTGGTAAAAATGACTAGATACTACTTGCAAGTTCAGTATTAGACAAACTTGACAATTGAAAGGTGCAAATAAAAGACTGTAAGCAGATCATGCAGTTCTTTGGGTACCTAAAATATATTTGTCCGTCAACAGTTTTCAGCAATTTGCTTTTCTCTTAATTTTAACTATATGCATGATACTAGTTTAAAGCTATGATAAGTATGACAAGAAAAATCTACATTATTTCAGCATTAAATCACATTAAACAGGATTTCATTTTGCCCCTCTTAATATTTCAAGTTAAATCTTTGTGGTGCACTGGGCATAAAATTAACATGAGGTATTTTGAAGAATTTTCTCATTTACCAAATTCAAGTTTTTAAAATCCTATGCATATCACCCTGGTTTTTTTTAATTCACATTGCTGATCATAGTTTGCCTGATTTGTTAAAGCTAGCTAGAAAACCTATGTATCAAAGTGTGGAAAGGAGAATATGAGTCAAGATTTATAAAATGGGCTAAATTTATTTTCAAAAACTGACCCTGGGTATTATTCTAAATCTAAGTTTCCTGTGGTATAAGTGCATGAAAGAAATTCAAGTGGTAATGAACCAATAAATGTAGAATGCCAAGAAATTTTTAAAAAAGGAATATGGACTTTGGATTAGTCAGTCATGTCAAAATGACATTCTATTCGTAAACAGCACAAAAGCAAACTCCCATCCATGGAAAACGGAGGGATATTGCCTGTAATACTGGAAGGCACACATCATCAGCACAGCTTCAGCCTCCATGAATTTGTCTAAGCTCCTCTTCCAAGTTTCCAAGTGAGTGGCCATCACTGCATCTTTTGGCAGCAAATTCCATCATTTAACTCTCTACTATGTGAACAAGGTCTTCCTCAGCCTCCCATGCTTCAGTTTCATGAAGAACTCTATTGGGCTCCAGTATTGAGAGTTAGAGGTTATTAGGATTGTAGTTTCTAATTTCTACACAGAGAAGCATCTCAACTTCCTTTGAATTAAAATGCTCATTGCTTTCTTCACCCAGTCCCAGGTACCCTACAAACTATAGGAAAAGTTACCATCTTCTTGAAAAGAATGATCACACGTACCTGGACTCATATTTTGAGAGTGTTTTTTCCTCCCAAGCTGTGTTGCCACCTCCAAAATTCTTTTTTGCAGTATCTGTTAGACCCTGCAGAAAGAAGTTTACATTTCAAGAGAGTAATGAAAATGTTTGACTGGTACTTCACAACCAAAAAGAAGAAACAAATTTAAATGAAAATATTAACAACATATATTAAAAAGCTATGAGTGATTCTATATTTGTAGCTAATATCCATGTTATTTTATATGTTTTCTGTATTTCACAGATTAAGCCAAAATGAAATGCAAACTGAGCACAGCAAGCTACTTCACTTCTGTAATTGTTTGCCTTTGCACAGCAGCAAGTACAAAGAGTTGACAGCATGTATACAGAGCAGAGTTGAATTACTTTGCTGCTGGACCAAGTTGCTAAGAACTCTCAATATGCATCTACTTAAAAGGAACCCCATTGAGGTAATTGGTATTGACTCTCAGGTATACAGTCATAAGATTGTAGCCCTTTCCCTACAATCCCTAAATGAGAAAAAATAAGGAGAAATTTTGTCTGATTATACTTTTTCAAAAAGCTAGTTCTTCACCTTCTCAATGTAATTTCAATGTGGATGAGACTAATTCTTTGCTTTTAAGAACTTAATGAGAGAATACTTGTTCCAGAGTAATTAATCCAGAGAAAAAGTATGAGATAACTTTTTTGTTACAATTTTAGATACAGCTGGACTTGGCAATGATGATAACAGAGTACAGTTTGCCACATACATTATGGTGCCTATGAACATAACTATATTTTGTTTTCCACAAACAAAGAAACCAAAAAAAGTTAAATTCACAGTCGATTCCACGGAATGGCTATGTAACTCCATACTAAATGACATAATTACACGTACAGACTAACAAGCATTCTCACGTGCATATACGTAGCAGAGCTGCAAGGATGCAACCCTGCAGACTCAGACGGGAAAAAAGTCTTACAACTCCCAGCATCCCTGCCCTTCCCCCAGTCAGTCATACTGGGGAAGCTGGGAGTCATAGGGCGTTTTTCCTAGCTAAACCTTCACAGGACTGCTCCTCAAAGGCGTTTCAGTGCCACCCCTGCCTGGGAGCACCCTCCACAGGCCTTCCTTCTGAGCAGACGCGTGCGGGATTGCAAAGTTTGGCAAGAGAGGATCTGCGAGGCGGAGCAGGCGTGGATCCGCTGTCTTACCTTACTGAATCGCTCGGTGATGCCACGGCAAGTATTGCATGCCTGCCGGAGCCGCTCCTGAGGGGAGCCCACAGTCGGCGGCGGCGGCAGCACGAGGAACAGAAGGACCAGCGGATTGGCGGCGGCGCAGAGCCACCTCCACGGGGCCCGACGGGGTCGCGAGCCAGGCGAAGGCCGCATCGCTAGCAGCGCCCCGCTGTCCCTGCCGCGGCTGACACGCGCGTCCGCTCTCACTCGGCAACCGCCCTTGCCGAGCTCGCACTGGGCATGGCTCTCTGGCCGACACACTCCCGTTACCGGCTCCGCGCCGGGGCCATTCGGAATTCCGACTCAGGCCCTGCCCTGCTCGCGTCCCCGCCAATCACACAGTACGCCTCGGCGTCCCTCGCGCTCGGCCGCTAGGACGTGGTCCAATCGACGCTCGCCACGCTCCGAGCCAATGGGAACCCCACGTATGGCGAAGGGAGGCGGGTAAAAAGAAAACACCTGTAGCCGATTCATACGCTTTTAAATTATAGACCTATGCAAGGCTGAGATTCTTGGGTTCAGTTTGCAGATTTAATCCCCCCCCCCACAACTCTCGCGGAGGAGATCTGTCCGTGGTTGGGTTAACAGTGGACTGCACTGCCGGAAGGTGCTTAAGTCCTTGTCCTTCAACCACTCCGTTTTCAGCCCTCCTATTCTAAAATGTGGCTAGTAGATTAAACTGGCATTTGGAGAGGAGTTCTCTATTCAGGCTGGAAGAAGTAAAAACCTTTCTCACTCAAAGTGAGATTAGAATTTAAAAGAATCCTCATATATTATTCCTCTTACTGCTACGTTTTGGGTGGACAGGTTGATGCCCAGCTACAGCTATACTAAAACTCTCAATATATCCATTCATTTAGGACAGCGGTTCCTTTCCGGCAAAGCTTTTTTTTTTTTTTTAAGGGCTAAACTGGAGAAACTCGGGTTGTTTCAGTGATCGACACTGCAATGACTCTCTATTCTTATCTCTATGACCCTCGCCAGGAATTGGATTTAGCTGTCATGTTAAATCCGGGCAAGTGAACGGTGACTGGTGACGTCGTCTTGTGGCTGGCAAAATCATAAACAACTGTTGAGCAAAGGGAATGGAAAAGGCTGCAGACTCCTATCGCCAGGATGATGATTTAATTTCTGTACCATTCCAGAGCCAACGCTCTCTCAGATGCTCTCTTGCACAGGTATCATGCACAAATCCATAAAAACAGGTGCTAAAAATGCAATAAAGATACCATAAAATCAGAGAAAGTATTAGTTTTAAACAGCTAAAACAATAGAATAGACAATAACAAGGAATGACAAAAGAGCGACTCTGTGAAACTCTTGTTGATCCCCCTCAAACCTCTGAGTGGCTAAGTTTTTAAAACGGCAGAAAAAAAGGGGCTGTCTTTAACCTGGTGCTGCAAAGATGACAGATTTGAAACCAGCCACGTTGCAGTGGGGAATTAATTGCATGGATATCATGCACAAATCAATAGGTACAACTTTCATTAGCTAAATCATTCACTCATTGACACCTACCCTGAATAATACCCTCTTTTATAGAAAGCAGCATGTGTACATCCTTGAAATGTAGCTGACACTAACCAGGCACCATTCCAGAGAAAGCTAGTTGGCACTTGACAGATAACAGCCGCTCAGACAAAGAGCAATTCACACCAGCCCACCCCATCCTCCTCCTCTTCTGTGTAGTAGCTTAGTAGCATCTTTGGCATGCAAACGGGAAAGATCATGCCACTGTAACTTTTTGCTTCAATAACTTATTGGAGAGTGTTAACTGTGTTACATGTAGCCCTCTAATGATCAATTTATAAAAAGGCCAACTGAGGTCTGCTCAAGTGTGCCATATGGAATGATTTGTTGGTAGCCAGTTCTTCTTGAGAGTAAATCTTTAAAAGAAAGCCTTCCCTGTTGTGTATTTTGGGCATACACACATACCAGGACATGGACTATCTGGTCAATAGATGGATGGCCACCACCGAGAAAGTCCTTCCCCTTGTTGCCGCTCTCCGCATTCCCTTTGGAGTTGGCACTTGAAGGAAGGCCCCAGTGAGAACCAGTGTGGTGTAGTAGTTAAGAGCAAGACTCTGGGACTCAGGCAACCTGGGTTCTAGTCCCTGCTTGGCCATGGGGCCAACTGGGTGACCTTAGGCCAGTCACTGCTGCTCAGCCCTACCTATTTCACAGGGTTGTTGCTGAGACAGGATGAGAATGATGTAAGCTGCTTTGAGTTTGTGAGAAAAAAGCAGGATATAAATTTAACAAACAAAATAAATCAAGTGTGATGTCTGGGTAGATCATGGTTGGGAGAGCTATTGTGGTCCTAAGCTGTGTATAGGTTAAATGCAGCACCTTGAATGGGTACCAGAAGCATGCAGGCAGCCAATGCAAGCAAGCTAGAACCCATCTTATGCGTTCAGACCTGCAGGTCCCAGCTATTATTCCCATTTCAACCCCATCTGGTCAGAGGGACCACCCACCAGCAATCTCTCAGATTTGCCTGGATAGAGCTTCAGCTTTTTGGCCCTCATCCAGTCCACTGTTGCAGTTAGAAAGGGGTTTAGTGCATCCACAGCCTCACCTGCAGATGATAAAAAGGAGAACTAGAGCTGCGTGTCAGCAGCTTGCTGATGGCTACGCACCCCAAAGCTCCGGATGACCACACTCAGCAATTTCATGTAGATATTGAACAGCATTTCGTAGAATAGCTCCAAGTGTTTAACTATGGCCTTGAGGCGATCAGATGGCGGGACTCCTTTGCCCGTATCAAAGATGGTTGCGGCAGATCACTGCACTGAAGCCGCGGGTCACCTGACGAGCCTGGCCCCGCCTTGTCTCTGTGGCTCTGAATTGCATCACGTGCGCTTCGGGTTGCCCGGTCTGGAGAGGCCACGTGAGTCCTTTGCGGGTAAGTCCAGGTTCATCGGAAGCGGGTGGAAAGCGCGAACAACATGGAGTGCGGCGCAGTTGGTGTTCGGCCCCGCTCGGGCGGCTTTCATTCGTTTTGCCTGCTTTGCTCCGTCTGCTTGATCTCACCGGGCGAGGGGGAGAGGAGCGCTGACGAAGTTGCTCCTCGTGGGAGTAAACGGGGCAAGGGATCGGGGCGAAGGCGGATCGGCTTCGCAGGAGCCGTGGGAAGGAATTTGAAATCGAGGTGTATCCTGAAGCAAAGCCTGCCCGCCATTCTGACTTCACTGCAGGGATGGGCGTACTTTAGGCTTGTTTGTTTTTCTAAAGCCCTAAGATCTACCAACAGGGGCAAGGCGCACACGAAGGATTAGGAAGCAGGGTGCTCAGCCCAGACGTTTGTAATCAGTACTAAGTTGGCAAATCGTTTTATGCACACACACGTCCACTCCTACCTAGTCTTTCCCTACCACTCGTTCCATAAATGAGTAACTTGTTGCTGCTGTTAGAAATTGGTACTCAGAAACCCTTGGTGCTCTTCCACAATTTATCCAGGGAATTCTAGCAGATTATTGCTGTGCAGATTATTCAAATTAACCAATGTAAAAGAGTCATCTTAGTCACCCTTCTTAATCAATACATGAACTAGTGTAGTAAATTTGGGAGTGGGTCAGGGGCTCTAGACCAGCCTTCTTCAACCTGGCACTTTCCAGATACTTGGACTACACATCCTGGCATTCCTGACCATTGGTCATGCCGGCTGGCACTCCTGGGAGTTGAAATCCAAAACTTATGAAAGCAAGCCTCAAGCAGTGTTACTCTTCTATATGTCAGAACCAACTTCATATACTAGCTTTTCCAATCCTGGTGCTGTCCAAATACGTTGTACAAATACCCATCCTGGATGGAATGATGGGACTTGTAGCCCAACACATCTGGAAGATACCTATAGGACAGCACTGCCATATACTATACATAAAACCATGTATTATAGGAGGTAATGTCATTAAATGTCATGTTTTGCACTACACAAGTGGGCAACCTGCGTTCTGCCAGGTGCTAACAGGCAGTCAATGTTAAGGAAAGATGGGAGCTGTAGGCCAAATCATTTGGAGGGACTCAAGTTGCCCATCACTCCTAGATTGTCCTAGAGAGTTCTGATTGACTTGCGGAATATAAATTTAATAATAAATAAATAGGATGCTCACACTAAGAATCTGTGCTGGAACAGATTTCTGCTGAACACATATTTATTGTGTGCCATGCTGCTGCATCTCCCAAGTGCATCTTGGCTTTGAAGAGATCCTTACTTCCTTTTCATTTTTGATCTCACTGTAATGCAGGTGGGAATTTTGTATCCAGCATGGCTGAGAAGAAGCCCTCAGGAGGACAGCTGCTGCTGCTGATCATTGCTGTTGCCTTCACACACTTAGCAGTTTGCCCGTTTACGAAAGTAGAGGAGAGTTTTAATCTGCAGGCCATCCATGACATTGTGTACCACAAGCTGGACTTGGAGAAGGTGAATGGGATTATTCCTTTTGAGGATCCTCTTGATGGAGAAATCTTTTTCATGACTAGGGTGCTGTTGAGTTGAATATCAGCAAACAGAGGTTTTGGACAACCAGTAGCATATTTACAGCTTGCCATGTTTTTAACTTCCCTGGTGAGAGTGGTTTGAACAGTACCGTGTGGGAAAGAGCTGCCTCCTGCATGCCATTTCGGCTTTGCGTCCAGATTGCAAAACAACCGACAATGACCTCTTGCATGGGTTGCTTGCATGGTGCATGGAGCTGGAGCTCTGGGTGGTTTAAAACTCTCTGTGAACAACACAACAGTTCAAGGACCACATGTCATGGAAGAAGTCCAGTTCTGGGTTGTTTTGTAATCCAGATGCAAAGCAGGGTAATCTCTGGCTGTTTGTGGGTAAAACAACCTAGGAATTGTCATATACATGTGACTGTGAGGCCCAGCATTACTACTCCATCTTACATTGTTAAATGCATCGATCGTGAACATTTATGAATTGCTTACACTTAGAATTCAAATCAGTATACACAGGTCATAATAATAATAATAATAATAACTAATGTCTAAAATAGGTCATACCTACATGGTAGGCTACACAGGGAAAGGTTATGTAAATAAAATGGGTCTTCAACATCTCCCTAAAAATAAAGTGTTGGCACAAGACTAATGTTAGGGGGAAGTTTATTCTGCATCTTGAACACTGCTGTGTGAAATATTGTCCTCCAAGAGACAGCAGAATGGGCCTCAGAGGTTTGTAGCATCACCAGGAGGATCTTGGATGCGTGTGAAGGAGTTGAAATAACAACTAGAAAATGTGGGTGGATTGAAAGACAAGCCTCCTTCTGTATTTCTCTCGTGAGTGATTCAGGATTATGCACATAATTCCTGCACTCTTTTCTCATACGTAAATGGACAAAAGGGAAACATACACTTCAGTTTTTGTCTAATTGGATTTGCTGTGTGAACAACAATGAACAGCTCAAGAGTATTATAGATGGGGCATTTATCACAACACCCTGCTTCCCCATCATTTGCAGAATTTTATGGTTAGACAGGAAGACTAGATAACAGTGTCTTTTACTCTTTCTTCCAGTGTTTCTCCACTACTTCTGCCTTGAGTTTCTTTCTGCAAAAAAAAAATGCTAAGGAAGAAAATATGGACTGGCTGCATTGTGCTTTCTTGCCTGGTAGTGCTAGGAGCCCTCCATCTGGAGGACGGCACTGCACAAATCAGTGAACAGATTTAGACAGAGAGACGTTTTGGCTAGTAGGTAGGATAGAGAGCTAATAAATAAATAAATCTTTGGTTTCATGGCCATAAGGGCCAGCCTGGGTCTCATATAGGAATAACTTCTATGCAATCCTTTAGAACCATGCTTGAGATCATGTGGAGAAGTACATTTTACAAACTGGTGCACCATGCATTTACCATGCTGCAGTTTCCACAATTATAGAAGCACAGAAAGAGCAGAAGGAGTGTAGAAACCCAAGTTCACACAGAAGACTTTGAAATGATCCCAGTACCTAAGGATGGTGGGGAGGGCCTGTGAGGAGTGGGAACACTCAGCCTTCGGCTGCAGTTTTTGCTCTCTTACTCGTAAATAAACCTCGCTGAACTTAGTAGAAGTCGGAAGAATGAGGTTCAGGTTGTTAGTTTTATTGTTTTCTTTAGACCAAAATGTGCTTGAACAAAGTACAGGGGAAGGGCTGCAGCTGAGTAGTAGAATGTGTACTTTGCATGCAAAAGATCGGAAGTTCAGATCTTAGCTTCTGCGGGCAGGGCTAGGAAAGATTCCTCCTGAAGCCGTGGAGAACCACTGATTAGGTTTGCATGGTTGTGGAGGAAAGGAAGGCAGAGTGGCTTCTTTCCCTTCCTCCTAGTATGCCAGTCACATGTCTGCGTGGTGCACAGATGGCTTTGTTGTCCAAACTGGCAAGGTGGGAGATGGAGTCAGCTCCCAAACCAGCCCACAGCCCATAGCTTGTTCTAGAGTTCTTGGGTGGTTTAAAACCACCCTGTCACCCAGCCTCACCAGGTTTGAACGAGCTGGCAATCTGTATGTGGCATGTGTAATTACAGAAGGGAGGCAGTGTGCAGCTGGCAGATTTGGATAGAAGATGCAGCTGTGGCTTCTCCTCTTTCCCTGATTGTACGACTCTGGCCACAGTCTGTTGTGCGGAACAGCCTTCTAAAACTGGCGTCTTCCAGATGTTTTGGATTAAAATTGCCAGGATTCCTGACCATTAGCCATGTGGCTGGGGCAGATGGGAGTTCATGTCAAAAACCTGGAGGCCATGGGGTTAAAGAAGCTGGTTACAGAGTTGCACTAGTTTGCAAGAGAGAGCAAGGATCTGGCTTGGTATAATAGCAGCCTCTTGAAAACCTGCTTTCCTGTCTTGGCTCTCGATCAGACTGAAAATAAGACGCAGTATGAATTCTGGCAAGGCTGTCATTTGTTACCAAGTAAATCCCTTTGGAGTAACAAGCCAAGTAAGCTGGTGACTGTTCATCTAATTTCACCCACCTTGGCTCTAAATTAGAACAAGAAATGGAATTTTGAACTGTGGCAATCGTTCCTTTATTGTCTGCATTATTCTTCTCTGTTTTTTAATTGCAGTATGATCACCATGAGTTTCCCGGTGTTGTCCCAAGAACGTTCCTTGGTCCAATTTTTGTTGCTGCACTTTCCAGCCCGGCCATATATGTGCTGTCTCTTTTGCACATGTCAAAGTTTTACTCCCAACTGATAGGTATGAGAAATGTTGCACACATCAGGAACCACCCCTGTATCCCTGGGTGTTCTGTCCTGCTCTTCTTCCCATGTAATTGCAATCTCCCATGTTGTTACTTTGCCAGAGTAATTTATATCATCTTGCAATGTTACATTCAGTGATATCTACTGCAGACACTAAAACCGTTTTTACATTTCATTTTACCCTCAGTCCGAGGAAGCCTGGGCTTGATCGTGATTTACACCTTGTGGAGATTGCACAGAGAAGTGAGAAAACAGTTTGGTTCAACAGTGTCTATGATTTTCTGCTTGATAACTGCTACTCAATTCCACCTGATGTTTTACTGCACTCGAACTCTGCCCAATGTGTTTGCACTTCCTATCGGTAAGTAATTATGCTGAGCATCATCTTCAGAACAGCAGTAGAGCTACAGGATCTTAGGAGGGGTGGGGATGAGGGTTAGATGGCCACATATTTTTATTTTATTTTATTTTATTTTATTTTATTTTATTTTATTTGGGATTCTTATATGCCGCCCCATTCGCATAAGCCTCAGGGCAGCTTCCATCAAATAAATAACAATACAAACATATAAAAACTAGAAACATCCAGGCAATAAATTAAAACAATAAATAAATTAACAATTAATTAAAATAACATTTAAATAAAAAGGTCTTGGCCTGGCACCGAAAAACAAATAATGATGGCGCCAGGCGGACCTCTCTGGGGAGTGCATTCCATAAGTGGGGTGCCACCACAGAGAAGGCCCTCCTCCGGGTACTCACCCTCCTAATATCTTTCACGGAGGGTTCCCGGAGGAGGGCCTCTGCCGCCGATCTCAGGGAGCGGGAGGGCAAGTATGGACGCAGGCGCTCCTTTAGGTAACCAGGTCTCAAGCCGTTAAGCGCTTTATAGGTAATAACCAGCACCTTGATTTGGGCCCGGACTTCAATGGGGAGCCAGTGAAGCTGACAGAGGACTGGGGTTATATGAAAACAATGCCCAGTCCCTGTCAGCAACCTGGGCAGTTGGCATTTTGCACCAACTGAAGTATCCAGACCGTCTTCAAGGGCAGCCCCACGTAGAGGGCGTTGCAGAAGTCTAATCGGGAAGTAACCAATGCATCACTGTTGGAAGGCAGTTGTCCTCCAGGTAGGGATGCAGCTGATAGATTAGCTGAAGCTGATATATTGCCAGTTATACTGCCGTTTTGCAGCACACAGGTAATATTTGCTCCCTGTTCTCACCATTCCATGCTTTACATCTGCTTCTGCATTTCTGATATGTTGGAGCTGGCCAGGGCAACTCAAATGTATTTGACTTAAGACAGGGCAGCCCAAAGCTTGTTGTGCATGGAGAAAGTTTGGGGAACCTTTTCTCTACCTCTGAATGCTCCCCCTGGAAAGCAGACTGCACTGCAGTTTTCCCCTGCAAGGGCAAAAATAGTTTGTTGACTTGACAAGAAGCTAAATTTAACCTGTTTACTGGCCCATACAGCAAACCGTGCATTTCCCTGTATCAGGGAAGGGAACCCCTGCCCCTTTAAAATGCTATTTCCCAACCCTTTAAAAAGGGGTTGGGGTTGGGCATGCATAGCTTCACAATTTAAATTCACTTAAGTCATAGCTACATCATGAATAAAACAGGTTGCTTCTGCTGCCCTGTTTAATTTGGCAGCAAACATTGCTATGTGGTACAAAAGGATAATATACATTAAAAGGGTTTTTTTTTTTTGTAAAGGATCACAGCATCTGCAACTTTTCTTTGAGCCCTGTAATGAAATATTATGAAAGATAAGGGGTGCTGTGGTGATTGAAGCTAGTCCTGGTGGGTCTTGGCTTGCCCATAGAGAGTCAAGCGCTAACATTTGAGTAGTCATTTGGGCCTCTCCTGGGCTACAGTGCTTTGGCCCTGAGGTTCAGTCCTTTTCAGCTGACATAACTTCTCCTTTGATATAAGGTCATCTCTTGTTTGGAAGGAGAGGTCTGTGGGGGAAACAGCAGGGCTTTCCTCACTGTGACAGGTAGAATTCTTTTTTTTTTTTTAAGATTTTTATTCAGCTTTTTAAACTACTACTAAAAACATCAGTCATCAAATACATCGGACGTACTGGGTCAGCCCTCTACTACATATTTTTTAACATTCCATAGTCATAATCAAATCCATTTATAACAACTTAAAGACATCTTTAAATCTAAGCCAAGTCCCGTTTCTCCAGCCAATAATAAAAAAGTTCCCAAGTTTGATAGAAGTCAGTATCTTCTTTCTCCTTCAGTGATAAAGTTAATCTGTCCATTGTGACTGGTAGAATTCTTAAGGTGGTCTTTGAGTAGATAACTCTGGAACCCTTGCAAGTCCTTTCTGGTTTACTTGGCTCTCAGATTCAGATGGAGATGTTTCTGCTTTTGTTGGGTGGGGGAACTGGCCTGCAGGATGATGTTGGGCTCCAACTCCCATTGACCCCCCCTGACTAGTGGTCAGGAATGGTAGGACTTGTAGTCCAACAAGATCTAGAGTGCCACAGGTTGTCCATCACCAGCTTTATTGACCTTGCTTTAAGTGCTTGTTCAGTATTTCCCATTGGATTAAGTAGCACTTTGCCTTTATAATGAATATTGTGTTAATTGGCTTGGCATATTCAAGCACTAAATCAGTGATCTAATGACAATCTATGTATTCACCAGTTTTGCTGGCATTTACGTCTTGGATACAGCAAAAGCACCGCCTGTTTATCTGGTTCTCAGCTTTGGCAATTATTGTCTTCAGATCAGAGCTTTGCATATTCTTGGGCCTCATGCTCCTGGTGACACTGTTTAATAAAAGACTCTCCATTATGAAATTGTTTTCCTATGCAATTCCAGCAGGAGCTTTTTGGTTAGGTAAGTCTTCAATGCTTTTGAACTAGCAGAACTTGCAAAATGCCTCTTCTAAAACTATCCAGTGCAGTCTTAAATGAGTAAGAGTGCAATCCTGTGCATTGTTAGACTGAAAATGTTCCACAACTCCCAGCATACCCCAGGCAGCAGTTACAGAACTTTCTCCAGTTTAAACATTTGCAGGATTGTACTCTAAGGTTCTTGTTTAGGAGATGAGGAAAAGAGTGCATATGTGTATCTCTGTTTGCAGAAATGCAAAAAACCCCAAACAAACAGTATGTTCATATAAATGTTTCTGTGGGTGTATGCAAGCATGTGCCCTTGCACACACCCACAGACACACGCACATGCACACGTGTGTGTGTGTGTGTGTGTGTGTAGAGGTTGCAATTAAAATGTTACTACTGCAATTTACAAAACAAGTAAGGAGACTTGCTGGAAACCAATTTAGATCTGCTTCACAAATGGCCACAGAGTGTATTTTCTGTGCCAGCCTTCCCCAGCCTGGTGCCTTCTGGACAATTTGGACTGTGGCTCCCATCATTCCCAGCCAGCGTGGTCATGCTGGGAGTTGCACTCCCAACTCATCTGGAGGGCATCAAGTTGTGGAAGGCTGTTTTCTACACAGCGGAATCTGCACACCATTTTACATGAATTGGGTTTTCTGCACGTACATAAAGCCCTTCCCATGAGATCTGTCCATTGCAAGAAGCCATTCCAGAACCAATGGCTGAGCACATACACATGCATATAGTTCAAGTTGATGCGGATGGATATGTTTTTGTGCAAGTCCAAGGCCTGTGTCCAAACTTGGTCAGGTGTAGAGATCGTACCAGCTGGATCTGTGCATGAACTTGCCCTTTGACTCATAGCCTTCAATTAATAGCAGTATTTAATTAGGGTATTTCTTAAAGTGTGGATGAGGCAGAATGAGGAGCAATTATTGTAGCCTCAAGTCACAGCATTTTTGACATGGCAGGATGGATGTCTGTATCTTTCTGTTGATCAAGTTAGTTTGAAGCTTTTCATTCAGTTGTGACTCAGATCCTATTTTTTATCTGTGAAGCAAAGATATTGGTTATTTTTGTAAAGGCATTTCTTTCTGGATTTTTTTCTTTTTTTAGGACTCACCGTGGCATTGGACTCTGTGTTTTGGAGGCAGCTTCTATGGCCTGAGGGGAAAGTATTTTGGTATAACACTGTTCTGAACAAAAGTTCAAACTGGGGCGTATCCTTTAGCTGTTGAGCAAATTTTGCAGTAGCAGTAGAGTCAGATATTCTGACCTACTCATGATGTTTTATTTATTTATTATTTATTTGGGATATTTCTAGGCTGTCCAATCACTCTGGGTCTCTGGACAGCTCACAACAAAATCAATAAATACAACCGTATAAATATAAGTATAATCATCATATTTATTTATAAAATTTGTATGCCATCCATTACTTGCATCTCTGGATGGCTTACAACATAAATCAGAATAAAATAAGTAAAATAATATCATAAATACACCAACTATGATAAAACTAAATAACTCACGACTGAAAAAATGATTGAAATCTATTAAATAATCAATAAAATATTTTTTAAAGCTATTAAAATAGTATGGTTACTGAGAACTGGCTTAGCAAATCTTTTGTATTTAAGCTGGTTTAACTTTTAAATGTTGACTTAGCTTCTTTGGGGCAATGCTATGCATGTCAAGAAAGAGAAAAAACTTGTAGCTCCTGCCATGCTCTGACCAGGTGTTCTGACAGCCATTCTGGATGTTGTAGATCCAGAATGCTTAAAGATGCCTAGGACTGCACCTTTGGTTTCCAAGTATTTTCTACCACTGGGCCTAGTTTGGGTGCATATTTCCTTTGGATGGCCCATATACTAAATGGGACAGTCATATTTCGGTATCCCACTAAATGGAGGGTTCTACCCAGTGTTAGATTAATTTGTGACCTAGTCATTTCAGTATAAACATGCTAAGCAAGACTAACACTGAATGTAATCCTTAATTTGCCTCCTCATTCCTGATCAGTATAAACAGCTTATATGTAAGGTACAAGAACTGGATATATGCTTCTCATCAGATACATTCTCAAATGCAGATGTTACCTTAACAGAGAAATAGTTAACTCAAATAATGATTTATTTTTACATTCAAAATTATCCTTAACCCCTTTCTCTTGAAAGACTTCTCCTTTCTTATGGTATTTTTATTCAGCTTTGCCTCGTGCTCTGGGATGCAGTATTATATTTATACCATTAGGTGTGGTAGACAAGAGAACCAGGATATTAATTTTACCGACACTTGGTTTTATTTTTTTGTACTCGTTCCTTCCACACAAAGAGCTGCGGTTTATCATATACACTTTTCCAGTCTTCAATATAGTGGCTGCCAAAGGCTGTTCACGAATGTAAGTTCAGTAACATATCTTGACTTTATTGCTTATTATTGCTTGATAGTTTTCTAATGACTTAGAGAAAATGGTACTTACATGTCTCATTCCATCAGGGCCTTTATTCAAGTGTTTAGGATGCCAGGCAAAATTGGTCTTAAAACCTAAAACGGGGCAATTTGTAAATAATAAATTGATGATGACCCTTGCATTGATCCAGGCTGGAAACAAAATCTTCTGGAATCAGAGGAACTAGAAATCTGCAATGCAAACATGAGTAGCTTATCCACAGTCCTATGAATGTTACATTGCATTGAAATATTAAAGAGAGAAGAAGAGTAACCAAGAGGAGAGTTCTAGCAGTCTGGAGATGAGATTCCTTTGCCGAGCCCATCTACCTGGTACCCTCCAGTTGTGTTGGTATATAATAGCCAGGCTGGCTGGGGATGATGGTATTTGTAGTCCAGTTGGAGAAGGTGGGGAAGGTGGCATAACATAACATAGCTCCTCTGTCTGTATTTTCACGAATACCCACACTTTCTTTCTCAGTCTGAAATAACAGGAAGAGCCTTGCATCATAAATTCTTCAGAACACACGTTCAGTTGATCTAAACATTTCCCCATTTTCAGAATTGCCTCTTATAGTAGAACCAGAGCTTTTTGTTGCAGAATTGTGGTTTATTCAACTGCCAAAGTCTCTGAAGAGCCAGACAACTTTTTTGAGCCAGGGGGCCTAGGAAGATGCCTTACTCGTGGCTTCAGATAGCTCAGGATTGTCAGCTCAGGGTTTTATGCTCTGAGCCTGGGATGCTTTCTGTATCCAAAGCATTACTTCTCCACCCTATTGTGACCCTTCTCAAAGTAGCACTTTTCTTGACCTCTCACCTTGCATGCGAACAGCAGATAACTTGCAGGCATATGGGTGACCTGTCTGTTTTTCTTCACCTACACTTCATGGTGTGATGCTTCTTGACTTTTGTAAGTGACTTGTGGGATGGGGCAGCTGGGAAAGAAAGGCTTGGCAAAGTCTTAGAGTGGAGGTAGAACACAATATTTATTTATTTCCTTTTTATATTGCCCAGTAGCCGAGCCTCTCTGGGCAATTAACAAAAGTTAAAATTAAATACTTTTTTAAAACACACACATGCACAATTAGGAAGAAGAATACCATAAGAGTAATCACTGTGATTCTGCCAAGAAGCATAGCAGCAAGAGAGAATAAAATGGAATATATGAAAGCCAAGTTAAAAAGTTAAACTATTAAAATATTGGGAAAATAAACAGGACTTCATTAGGCACCAAAAAGAATACAGAGTACATACCAGGTGCCCCTCTTTGGGGAATTCATTCCAGAACCGGGATGCCACAACCAAAAAGGCTCTCCTCTCCATAGCTACCCATCTCACTACCTTTGGAAGAGGCTCTCAGAGAAGGATCCCCAAAAGTGACCTTACCATCCAGGTAGGTACATAGTGGAGGAGGCAATATTACTGTTACTATCTGTCTAAAGCAGGGGTGGGCGACTTGTGTCCCTCCGCATGTTCTTGCGCACAACTCCCCTCGCCATTGGTTGTGCTGGCTTGGGTGATGGAAGTTGTAGGCCAGAAGATTTGAAAGGCTACAGTTTGCTCCATACTTGTTTAATGGATTAGAGGTTAAGTACAGAAGGAATTTTCTGAAAAAGTTAGCTGTAAAAATAGCAAAGTTATATTCCCAGGGAGGCTAATGGTATGAAGATAAGGTGCAGAAATACAAGAGACTAGAATTAAAGATGTTAAGATTGACTTGCTCAGTTAATCAGACATCCCTCCAGAACTGAAGGAATACTTAGAAAATAAAATCTGAGTAATGCAGTAATAATTTACGTATTGATTTGTGAATGAGCCTTGAGCTCGTGGTCTCCCTCCCTCCTCTTGACCCAGACACAAACAGGGGATTTAAAGTGTTTGCTTCCATTTTTGCTAACCACAACTTAGCATTATGTCAAATCCCAGACAAATTCTAGTTAGTCTTCACTGGTTTATTAAAACAAGACAAACTGGAAATCTTAGTTTATGAAGCTGGCTTTTTCCAATAAACTGTACCTAAGATTAGGGTTTCATCATAAACTATCTTTGGCTGCAAATGGAAGCAAAAGCTTCCATTCTCCTCTTGGCCATGAAAAAGGAAAGTAGAAGAAACAAAAGATGTGAATTCAAGGTCTGCATACATAACAATAAACCACAATTTCCTGTTTGTTTCCAAATGCATCCTCATTTTCTGAAATTTACTAGTGAAGCAATTTTAATGATTTTCCATGCTATTGTTGGGTAAAGTTGGTGATGGCAAGATCAGTAATTAAGTATCGTACCATTTTCTCTTTCGTCACAGTCTCAACAATTACAAGAAGTCATGGGTGTACAAGATAGGGTCCCTCTTGGTTGTAGCACACCTTCTAGCTAATGCTGCTTACTCGGGAACATCGCTCTACATCTCACACTTCAATTATCCTGGAGGAGTTGCTATGCAGAAACTGCACCAGTTAGTACCTTCAACATCAGGTGTGTAAAGCTGTCTCAAAAGTTAAGCAAGTATTTTATAACTTGCTTATTTATAATTTATATTTATAGTTATTGCCAAATTTCTGGCAAAGGTGCTGGCAAGCCACATCTTATGTGCTCATGCATTTGCCAACACATTTTGTACCTCTCTCCCTTTGAGGAAAGGGGAGCTACTTTGAGTAGAAAAGATTGTGAAGGACTCATTCCTACTTTAGCATTTCTTCGCTCTTAAGCTGCCCTGCTGAAGCTTTTCACATTGGGGAAACCTTGAAATAATTCTCATGTCTTAGGGAAACCCTTGCATACAAATAATTACAAATTATCCTAATGAGTACAGTGGTACATTGACTCATGAACTTAATCCATTCCACAAATCCATCCATTTGTGACCCAAACTGGTTGTGATCCAAGTCAAATTTCCCCATAAGATTCAATGTAAATAAGGTTAATCCGTTCTGTAACTATTTTTTTAATCAGAAAAATTTGAAACAAAGTGACAAAGAACAACAAAGTAACAAAGTACTGTACAGTACAGTGGAAAACCTAGGTCGGGGGGTGGGGGGGGTTATTGTTTTGAGGGAGAGTCCCCTTCCATAAGGACATTGTGGAGATCCCTTTCAGGGGTTTCCTCTCTTCTTTGTCTCTTAGCTGCAGGGTCAATTTTAGTGAAAAATCTGTCTATAGTCATTTGTTTTTCCCTGCACTGCATAACCCTCTGGAAATGAGAAACCACGTTATCATTCATCAGATTCAACACTCTGTTCATTACAGTTATGTTGGGGTGGTGCTTCTCAAAGAAATCCTGGCACGGGCGTGCTGCTGCAGGAACGATGGACACAATCATGGCCATCTCCCCCGACCCCCCCGAGTGCGTTTGTGCAGGGAAGACGTGTGCGATCACGGGCATGCTCCTGCAGGAATCACGCACGTCTTCCCTGCATGAACGTGACTGCGATCGCGGCCATCTCCCCACTCGGAGGGTGCGGGGGAGATGGCTGTGATCTTGGTTGTCACCCGATGTGGAGTTCGTGACCCAAGTCAAAATTTTTATGAAATTTTTGGTTGTGAACCAAGGCGTTCGTGAGCTGAGCTACCACTGTATTACAATAATAACTGTAACCTGCTCAGTCCAGCCTATGCACATGTACTCCGAAGTACCACAACATTTAATTTTATTATTGTTGCTATTTATTTCATTAATGTGACATACCTCTCTGCCACGCTCCCCATTAGGGCTGATTTCCAGATTCAGAGGAGGAAGGCCCCTCTAGCTCAGATGGTGGGAAAGACCCACCAAACAGTCTTGAAGGCAGCAGCCTTTCCACTTCTTTGTCCCAGCACTGCACCTTACAGATAGACCATCTCTGCCCAAGGAGACTTCACCAGTGGCCCACCATGTGTGTTTATGTTACATAATATAAACACAGTGATATATAAGAGGGGACCCAAAAACCCCAGGAATTTATTTATAAAAGATCGTGTATTTATTTTTACATGTTCAGTCTTCAGTCACCTTCAAAGCACTCTCCATTTGATGCAATAAACCTATCAAGACATTTTTTCCACTGCTCAAAAATGGTTTTGAACTCATCGATTTTGATGCCTTTTAGTGCTTCTGCTGTTTGTTTGTTTCACCACTTCCACATCGGCAAAACATGTCCCTTTGAGGACATTTTACATCCGGGGAAACAAAAAAAAAAAAGTTGCACAGAGTGAGATCGGGTGAATAGGGAAGGTGAGGGACTCGGGTCATACCATTTTGGTCAAAAGCTGCTGAACACTCAGATGAACCAAACTTCACTGCTGTATGTTGTGCATGTAAATCAGCCATCACGAAATAGGTAAACCCGTTGAAAGAGTCTCCAAAAAACCTCACTGAAGCCAAACACGACCTCTCATAGCGCCCAGCTTATGCAGATGGAACACTCACCTAGCAGGGAAAATGTGTATTACAAGGGGCCCACCCTCCAAGAGATAATTCCTGTTTTCTTGGGTCCCCCCTCATATAAAATATGTATTAATATATTAAATATATATTTCTGTGATAAGCACACATGTGCACATGTGAACATATGTTTTCTTCTCCATGATTTCTTGCTGAATCCCCAGTGATTTTTCACAGAGCCCTGGGGACCCAAGGAACCCTGGCTGAGAAAGGCTGCTGATGGGAATGAGAGAAGCAGCTATTCTTGGTGAGCTTTCCAGGGCCAGGTGGGACCGACTGTTAGGATGAGGATGGGGAGTCCTTGCCTATAGACACAAAGATGGCAGAGGCAGAAAAGCTCATCTCAGGGCTACCATCTCTGGGTAGTCAGGCAGACTCTGGGAACAGACAGGGTTTGGGGGGGCCAGAGGGGACATGGGAGAGGAGCTAGAAGAGCCTGGCCCTGTCTTTGACCCCATGATGAAGCTCCGGGAGAGAAGGGCAAGTCAACTAGAGGGCTTGTGTCACTTTAGGAGGCTTGCCCATCCCACAGGTCACATCCAGATGGGTGGGCCTAGGGTCACCGAAAAGGAGTGTTCTTGGGTTCAACAAGCTGCTCCTCTATGCATGCTCAGATTCTTCCTTTGTTGGCTAGTGGATGTACACTGGAAATAAAGAGTTTTTGCCAAAGAACAGTCTATTGTGAAGGAAAGATCCCAGCTCGGGGCAGCTTTTCTCAAGTCTCCCTAAATCTGCTTTGCTCCGGGAGGGGTGCGATTGGGGAGTCATGAGGGAGCTGAGTTGACATTTATCATACACTACTTCTTTGACAGTAGCTGTAATACTGGGACGGGAGAGCACTGTTGCTTAAAGGCTGTCATAATTGTGTACAAATCATTATGACTATTAGTGGTGAGATGGTAAGTCAGCAGAGTCCATTCAGAGAAGATTGTCAAGCAGGCGCATTGTACCTCAAGCCAGCAGGCCAAATCTGACTCTCTGGGCCTCCCGCCACTGATCATTTGGTGGCTTCCTGGCTTTTACAGCTTTTTCACATCCTCAGGAAAGGAAACACCTTTCTGGAGGCTTGTTACTGGTCCAGAAGCTTGAAGCTAAAATGGATTGGCAATCTTTTGTGGTTTGGCTTCACCCATCACTGGAATATGACCTCCGAAAGTTTCTTTGAAATTGAGTTTGGCTATTCAGCTGGAAGAGGTTAAACACCCTTGCTGTAAAGGAAGGCAGCTACCAGGAAGGAAAGACAGAGAAGTTTGGGAGATCCCCGAGGCGGACTTCTCTGTCTGAGCCCAGCCGGATGGGTGAGACAAACCTCAGAAGAGGTTAATCAAGAAAGATGTCCGGCCTGAACCTTTTCATGAAAAGGGCTTTTGTGTTATAATTACAGCTGTGCACAAATGGCCTCACAAATCTCCACCCTATTTATGAGCAGAGAAATTAGCAGGGAGTTGTAGGGGAGAACATTTCATCAAATTTCTTCAAGGGAGGAGAAATTCTCCAACAGTTTGTCTGGCTAGAGCTCATTATGAACTGTGGTTGTGGCACAGATTCTTTCTTTCCCTCCAAAGAGTTTTTTGGTTTTGGCACTGCCAACAGTGTGGACAACCTGGTCCCCATCTTCTCACCTGGGAGAATTTATCCAAATTTTCCTGCTTGAACATTTTTTTTTTTTTATTTGAAGGAGAATGGTTGAAAAAGAAAACCTTGAAAAATGTTCATGCAACACTACGTAGGTCTAATACCCGGTTACTCCCTAGCAATTATATTGTTTGGGGAGCAATCCGGTGGGGATGCCCATAAGCCTCTGAACTAGGACAACTGCTGGCATCCTAGGCATGATGGGAGGAACATGAAGGAACCTCTCAGCTTGTGAATCAGCTAGATGCCCTTTATTGCCTGCCTGGCTGTGGCACTTTGGACAGGGAGGGAAGGAGGCTGGAGTGCTGCCAAGATGTGTGCTCTCCTCTCCCTGATTGCCCTCTTTACCTCTTCTCCGAGGTCAATCTTGAGATGTTGGAAAGGCTGTCGGCACAGTTCTTTTTACACCAGCTATGGAGCGGGGTGATCCAAGCACTGATCCCCAGCTCCAAGGTCAGAGTTCTTTTCCTGTGGCTGCCTAGATGCTGTTTACAAGCCATGGGACAGAATCATTGAACTATAGACCTGGAGGGGACCAGCAGCACCATCAGGTTCCTTATTTATATCGGATGCCTTATTTATATTTCTATCCTGCCTTTCCTCCAAAGAACTCAAGGCAGCATGCATGGTTCTTTCCCACCCTATTCTATCCTCACAAGCACCTTGTGCGGTTGGACCAGGGTCACTGGTTACCCCGTTAAGTTTCATGGCTGAGTGGAATTTGAACTGGGAACTCCCTGGTCCTAATGAGGTTCTGTAACCACTTTGCTCTGGCTCTCATTGACTTAAAGAAGAATTTTGGCAATGAGAAAGAACCTGTTCCCACCATGTCTGTCCACCTTCACTGCTTTGTTCTTCCTTTTGGCATGCTGACCCTTTTAATCTCACCCCACTGTTTTGTAAAACATTATTTTTCTGAACTGGGCTTCTCAGGAGTATCTTATTTGATGCAGTGGCAAAGATTTTACATTTGGGATGGGCAACTTGTGGCCCTCCTAATTATGTTGGACTACAGCTCCCATAATCCCTGACCATTGGTTATGCTGGCTCAGACTAATGGTATTTGCAAACTTGCATCATCTGAAGATTTCCTGTCACTGTTTCCATATTACAAAAAGTGCTGACAAGTAGATACATTTCTATACTTTAGGTTTCCTCTGTACTACCCAAAAGGGAATTCGCAAGGGAGATACACAACAGGAGCCTCGTCATTGAAACAAAAAAATGTGCAGGGGAGAACCTGGAAGAAATATTTGTGGGAAAGGACTGAGCTTAGTTCTGGCAGTAAAACACATTGAAGGCCTTACTTCTTGCTTTCAAGTATCTCCATCCTGAGGGTCTATTTATTTAGAAATGTCATTCCTTCTCTTTTTCAGATGTTTCCGTCCATATTGATGGAGCTGCAGCACAGACTGGAGTTTCTCGATTTTTGGAAGTCAATTCAGATTGGAGGTAAAAACAAACAAAACATGCAGTGTTTTCAAAATAGGAGTTTTCTGCTGTTTGCTGCGCATGAATGCACGTGCTAACATGATTATAATATGTTCTTAAACAGCTTGTCACAGTTGCAAAGCCCAACTTAGTTGGTTCTGTAGGAAAGAAACATTTGGACTCTGTGTAAATTCCCTTTCCCGGGAGGCTCTAGGGTGGGCCACTGTCTGTATTAGAGGAGCATAGCCTCTGAATTGGCAGATAGGGATCCAGCAAGAAATGACACCAAGAGGAAGAGCTTTCCTTCAACTCTCAGTCCAAGCCCAGAGACTGGAAGAAAACCTTTTAGCCCTAACATTTGAAAAGTACATGTACAAGCACAAGAAAACCACTCAACAGGATAAGTGTACTAATTAGTACACTCGAAAGAAAGAAAGAAAGAAAGAAAGAAAGAAAGAAAGAAAGAAAGAAAGAAACAAACAAACATTGGGGGATCCCATGGGAACCCTTCAAATACAACATGCAACACCTTTCTTGCTTTGCATCTGTGGGCTTTAGCTCTTGCAGATACATAAGAACATAAAACATATTATGGCTGCTGCAAGACATAAGCAGAGGCAGAGTGGTGGCCTCCAAACTGGATGGGGTGGTGGGTCACTGTGCTTGAGCAAATGCCTTGCCTTGTTCCTGGCCGAGTCAAGTGGTGATGAGGTGACAGAAGGGCTGAGCTCCACAAAGTGGTGCTTATCAGCCATTTTTGTTCGGCAGTGACCAGGTTCCAGCTGGGTAGGAGAGGAGGGCAAGCCAAGCTGAGGAAGCTGTGCCAGGAGGGGAAGGTCTTCTCCAGAATGCTCATCTTTCCTTAGTGGTGCTCTTTTCCTCAAACTTTGGGAGTTGGAGCCTTGCTGAGTATGGCCTGAAATTGGGAACCCTCCCACAAATTTACAGTTCAACCTGTGTTGCAAGGCCTCAGCTACAAGCTGTGCCAGAAGCCTGCTAGTCAGACAGGGCCGGCGTGGGAGAAGAAGCCCTTTCTTTGGTATTGCTTCTTGTTGGAACCCTGTCTAAAAAGCAGGAGGAGCTTTTTAAGTGTAAAAGCTGCCCTAGTCTAGAACCACTGGAAGGGACTGCTTTCCGCCAGCTTCCAGGCAGTTTCCTGCACAGAAGGGGAGGCAGCAGTGCGTAAAGCGTGAAAGGGCATGATGGAGCATAGTGGAAGGGTGCAAGGCTCTTTTGCACAGAGCTTTTGGCTCTGCTGGTGTCACTGCCCAAGGCCCTAGTCAGTGTCATGGGGAAGCATACCCCAGGGGCCTCCGAGACCTGCTTGGGTATTGGGTGGTTATTAGCACTGGAAGGTTACTAGATCCTGCAGTTCTTATGCTATTTGGCTTTGGCTTGGGCTACGCATTTGTGCACAGGGTCGAGGCTGCATATGAGCTAGGAGCATACATGGTTCACTCACAGAGTATGTAGGAAGCCACAGGAAAAAGTAAATATCAAACTACACAATTGGTGGTGCATATTTAGTGCTGTTCTTTACATTCTCTGCAAACAACAAAGAAAGCATTTTTCAACTTCAGTGAATTTGAACCTATGATATTTAGTCCAGAAACTGGCAACATACCCCAGCTCTGAAGAAATTTTCAAATAGACTCTTATATTTTGTACTAAAGAGTTTAATACCACTGAATATTAATATGCAAAATGCATACTTTCATATAAGTTGCGGGTATGCAGTCCCCAAATTCATTTGGGGTATTTCAAATTTTCATTAATAGAAATTTGGGGAAAATTTTTTGAATTTCCTAAAACTGGGGTATACTTCCTCTTCAGAACTCCCAAACATAATTTAATATACACCAGTAAGATTAATATGTGGAAGAATATTATTTCATCTTTCCTCTTCTAGTGGAAGTCTCAATTTAAGATTTGGTAACAGAATAAACTGACTCATGAGGGCCATCTGGACTGCAGCAAGCTTTCATTGCCATACCAAATAATGCCTTAAGAAAATTACAGGCATTAATTTATTTTTCACAAGACAGACTGCTGGAAGCTAATATAGACCAGACTCGCTAATCTTGGCATTACAGCCACTGAATTAGGATGAAAGAGTGTGGAGAATTTTAGAATAGTAGTATTTGGTGATGCTTGCATTCTAATAACAGCGTCTTCAGTAGCCAAAGGTAAAGTGCTGCTTGAAGACTTGTCCAGGTGTGTAGGTTTAACCAGCAGCCATTCTAGACTTTCTGTTTCAATTAGAAGCTGACTCTGGGGTGCTACCTGCTAACTACCGTGCTAGTTTTGAGGAGGATGGGAAAACTAGCCTAGTGTCAGGGAGTTGTTCCTTGAATTAAAGTCTGTAGGAGAATGATCTGTGCTACTTTGGATAGCCCTATACTGTGTAAATTAGGAAGGGAGACTGCCGCTTTGGAAGAGCAGACTGCTGTATTGTTGTCCCTCTGCATCAGGGGTGTTGGATTTCTTTCAGTCTGGGGACTGAATTCCATTTCATACAAATTCTTGGAAACTGCATTCCAGTGGTGGGTGGATCAAAATGTCCACTTATTGCTTTAGGAAAAGCATTTCATTAGAATAAGGGGGCAAGTGCGTAAAAGCCAAGAAAACACCAAACACTGGCTGGTTGAAGAGAAGGGGTGAGGCCTCTTCAGGCTTCTATAAGAAGAGCCATGCTGGATCTGGGTGATGGTCCATCCAGTCACATGGTGGAAAACCAGCTGCTCACAGGATCCCTCAAGTGGGATGGGTAGGTACAAGAGTCCCACCTGTCCAAGTTCCTCAGCAGCTGGTGTATGCAGGCATGCTGCCTCTGATAATGGAGGCAACATGTATCCAGCGAGGCTAGTAGCCATTGGTAGCTCCTCCCTGAATTTGTCCAGTCTCCTTTTAAAGCTACCTGAATCGGTAGCCACCACTACTTTCTGTGGCAGTTAATTCCATAGATTAAATATGAACTGTGTGAAGAAGTTCTTCCTTTTACCTGTACTCATTCTCTGGCCAATTAACTTGACAGAATGACCCTGGGTTCTAATATTATGGGAGAGGGAGAATAATTTCATTCTCTTTACTTTCTTTGAACCAAGTATAATTTTAAACACCTCTATCATGACTCCCCTTACTTGCCTTTTTTTCCTAAGTTAAACAATCCCAGTTGTGGCCATTCCTCATAGGGGAGTTTCTCAAACGCCTTGATCATTTTAGTTGCCCTTCTTTGCCCTGCACTCATTTAATTCCATGTCTGCTAGGTTTGCCCAGGAGCCTTTGGTGAACGACTGTCAAAATCCTTTCAGAAGTCCAACTAAACAGTGTCTACTGGATTGCCCTTATTAACACTCTCAAACAAGGGTGTAGTGGGGGAGGCCCTCGAGGGGTCAGGGAGCTCCCACCTATTTCGGGGTGATCACTGGATCACTGAAGTCAGGGTCACTGTCCCTCCCCCAGTGCCTTTCAAGAGACTTAATTTTGCTGGTTCGTGCCTGGCAGCTGCCACTGTGTTGGAGGCCTGAATTTTTCAGGGCTGCTTTTTCAACAGTTCTCAAAAGTTCCTGGGAACTATCTATCTGGGGAGGCCTGCCTGTGTGCTTTCTGTAACACTTTCCCTCATGGTTGGCTTCTGCTCCTCAGCAACATGTGGTCAGCTTTCCTTTGCTGCTCCAAAAAGTACCTCCCACCCCCCCTTACCCCCTCCCCAATCCCAGTTATTTAGGCAATTGGGAGAAATAATGGCTGGAGTGGGATAGAAGTATTGTAATTGGAGTATATTCACTGGAATCAATGGGAAAAATTAGCCATGAATTCTGATAGCCTTAAGCTCCTCTTGCTTCAGTTAGGCTATTTTACACAGGATTCAGTATGGATCCAGTGAAAGCACAATACAAGATTATTGGATATTTTGAGAAACTGGAACACCTGGACTCTGGACTCATGGAGGATCTTGCACACATAGGCACACACACAATCAGTGGTTGCAGAGACCACAGAAAATTAAAAGAAATCAAACAGTGATTATCAATCCAGACTACTGCTCTTCGGAGAATATAACTACATGTGCTTCTATAAGAGTGGGTAATTAGTGGCCAAGTTTCCTTTTTTCCTCTTTCCTCCCTGTTCCTTTCCCCTTGTATGTCATGATTTTAGATAGCAAGCCTGTGGACAGGAACAGCCTTATTAATTCCATATAAGCCAGTCTGGGAGCTTTTTGGCTGGAGAGCAGGGTATGGATGTAATTTAAAACATCATTCATTCATTATAACTTCTAGAAGCGGTGATTGCTCCTCCTGAAAAAGAGATGGCCTAATCTTGCATTCATTACTCAACAGAAATTCAAACAAAGCACCAAACCTCATTTTTATTGTACAATTATAGAACTCATAATCTTGGCAATGAGTGTAGCTGTGATGGGGCGTGGCTCTGACTACCATGAAGGGACCCCTCCCCATGTATACATTTCCCACTATGCCACCACTCTCAAAGAACTCCAGCAGATTAGTGGGATAAAATTTACCCTTGTAAGAATCATGGTGATTCTCTTTCAACAGGGCTTTTTGCTCTATATGCTTACTGATTCTATCTTTAATAAGGTTTTCAAGCAATTTATCCAAAAGCTAACTGGCTGGTAATTCCCTGGATCCCTTCATCCCCAAGATCCCTTTTTAAAAATTACTGTCACGTGTACCATTCTCCAATCATCTGCCAGAAACGCTGCTTTTAGGGACATAGTCAATATTTTGCTAAGAAGGTCGACAATTTCACATTTGATCTCTTAAAGAACTCTAGTGTGGATACCATCTGAGCTATATGATTAACTGACTTTCAGTTTATTAATAAGGTTGAGAATTTCATTTTTTGTCATCACTATCTGCCTTTATCCCTATGAGTCTCTTCCAGAATACATAAATTCAGGAACAGCCATCTACTCGACATCCTCTGCTGTGAAGTCGGATGAAAAAAATTCATTCAGCTTCTCTACAATCTCTTTATCCTTCCTTAGTGCTCCTTTA